GCCATGAGCTATGCTGGTGGCTGCCACCTGCTCCCCTCACCTGGCCTGGGGCTCTGGGCACATTTGTGAGATGCTGGCCCAGCAGGACCACCCAGTCTAAGAAGGGCTTCTCTGAAGTGACCTCAGGTCCCTGTCGTGGCCGCAGTTTCTCTATCCTTGTCCCCGAGGACCCAAGGAAATCTCACAGGGCCCCTCCTCACACTCTCTGTATCTCCCTTCTCAGCTCCAGAGGAAGAGACCCCCACCTCCACAGAGGTGGAGGAGACCCTGACCCCCACAGAGCCCTCCACCGAGGCCCCGGAGTCCCCCAAGGACCCGCTTCTGGGGGATCTGACAGTGACAGGATCCACCTCGGACTCGCTGAGCCTCTCCTGGACCATCCCCCAGGGCCGCTTCGACGCCTTCACCGTGCAGTACAAGGACAGGGACGGGCGGCCCCAGGTGGTGCGTGTCAGGGGCGAGGAACTCAAGGTGATCGTGCAGGGCCTGGAGCCTGGGCGCAAGTACAAGATGCACCTGTACGGGCTCCACGCAGGGCGGCGCGTGGGCCCCGTGTCCGCCGTGGGTCTGACAGGTGAGTGAAGGGTAAAGTGCCCCTGGGTTGGGTCTCTGGAAAGGTCTCATTCGTGGAGCCTCCAAAATCTCCTCCGTGGAGACCAGGGCCCTGAAGCCTCCAAACCCAACACCCTGTCCACCAACACCTCAGGCAGGTGTGATCTGGGGAAGGGAGAGCAAATCCCAGAGAAGTGCCAGCGCTGTCTGGGAGAGACCACTGGGGATGAGGCCTCCAAGGCTGGTAGTTCACTGTCCAGTCTGTGGCTCTCTGCTCTGCATGGACACTCAAGAGAACTCCTTTTGTGGCACTGGGATAAATGCTATGAGTATGAATTCATTCAACACATTTTATACAAATGTCAAAAATATAAACAAAGAGAAAGAATAGTGTAATGAATCCTATGTACCTGTCACGCTGCTTCAACCAGTTGTCAACTCCTGGCTAGTCTGTCTCATGTATACCCCACCTACTTCTCACCCTTCCCCACTAGAATTTTTTTTATTAACAGCTGTATTAAGGTATAATTTACACACCATAAAATACCTGTTTTAAGTATATGATTCCTTGATTTTTAATATATTTACAGAGTTGTGTGACCATCACAATTTAATTTTAGAACTTTTTAAAACCATCACCTCAGAAAGAAACCTCATGTCCATCCCCATTCCCACCCCAGCCCTAGACAACCACTAATCTACTTTCTGTCTCTATAAATTTGCCTATTCTGGACATTTCCCATAGATGGAATCATATAATATGTGTTCTTTGCTGTCGAGCTTCTTTCACAGAGCCTAATGTTTTTGAGGTTCATCCATGTTGTAGCATGTATCAGTATTTTGTTCCTTTTTGTGGTGAAGTAGTATTCCATTGTATGGATATACCACTGGAATATTTTAAAACTAATCCGCGACACCCTGTACTTTCATCAGAAAAAGAAAAAAAAAGGCGAGGGGACTCTTTAAAAATAACTACAATATAATTACCACACCTTTAAAAATGAATGCTCATTCCTTAAATATCATCAAGTATCTAAGCAGTGCTGTAGTCTCCTGCTTGTCTCATAATCATTGTTAGGCCATTCGTTGCTGGAATCAAGTCCAGTTAAGGAGGAGACATTACAGGTGGGGAACTGGAAGTTTAAATAGAGAAAGCATCAAGGAGAAGGTGACATTTGAGCAAAGACTTAAAGGAAGTATGAACAGGAGCCATGCACATCTAGGGAGAGAACATTCAGGTGAAGGGAACAGTCAGTGCAAAGGCTCTGGGTCTGGAGGCAGCCTAGCACATTTGAGGGATGGCAAGGAGTTCAGTGTGGTGCCACACAAAGACTTCGATGATCATAATCAGAAATGGATCTTAAGAGGAGCTAGGACTTCAACAGCAACAACAAAGACTCTGTTTGCATCCCTTCCTAGCCCCTATAGAGGAGCCCTCAACTCCTGCAGCCCCACCTCCCACCGCCACCCTGAGCTTTCCGAAGCCACGCCTTGGGGAGCTGACTGTGACTGATGCCACCCCCGACTCCCTGCACCTGTCCTGGACAGTCCCCGAGGGCCACTTTGACCACTTCCTGGTCCAGTACAGGAATGGGGATGGGCAGCCCAAGGCAGTGCGGGTGCCAGGGCACAAGAACGAGGTCACCATCTCAGGCCTGGAGCCAGACCACAAGTACAAGATGAACCTGTATGGTCTCCATGGTGGCCAGCGTGTGGGGCCCGTCTCCGTCATCGGGGTGACTGGTGAGTGTGAAGTAGGGCCCTCCCCAAGCTGGACTGGGTTTCCCTTTTATTGTTGGTGTTCAGGTATCTTTGTCCCACTTTCCCCAAGACCAAGCCTCTGGAGCTCCTGGGAGTGAGTCTACTCATGTCTTCTCTCCAAGCCTTTGGTGTCACCCAGCCCTCTTACCCTTCACATGTAGGCTTTTGGGTTCCTTGAAGAGGCAGGGCTCCGAGAACCTACCAAACCTCTGACTCAACCTCCTGTCCACTGAAGCCTCAGTCAGGTATGGTCAGGGGTGTGAGGAGAGTGAATACTGGAGAAGTTCTAGGCTCTTCTCGGGGAGGCCGCTGGGGATTGAGGCCTCCAGGCTGGTAATTCCCTCCAAGATAGGGAAATAACACAGGCTCAGGCCGACCTAGCCTCCGCCCATTCAAGCTGTGTAACCTCAAAAGAGTCAGTCAACCTCTTTGTGCCTTCCTTTCCTCATCCATGAAGAAGGAATAACCACACCTGTCTTGCAGGGTGGGCATGAGTATGGCTCGACTCACAACACAGTGAATAGTAACTACAGGCTTCCCCTCCTGAGAGAGGTAATTTGTCCCTGAAAACCAATTAGAGCGAACTCTCATAATTGTCACTGATTTCAGTGGGAAACATTGTCTGTGTTCCTCGAGCCCCCAGACTGATGCTAAAACAACCCTGAATTCTGTTAACATGCATACCACCCCTTCCGTGGTTAACGTTAGTTATACGCACATCTTAACAAGGCGTTTTCCCTTCGTTAATTAACACAACTGTTGACTGTTTTCATTAAGCTGTTTTGTAGCTATTACCCCCTAGAAGCTTCAGACCCAGTTCTCGAACAGAACAGATGTATGAAACGTGGTGGTTTTGTAATTCAACTATTAAGGCAGAATAAAACCTTACACAGAACAGAAAGGATGAAAGAAATCAGTGAAAACAAATCAAGTGATTTCACACATGGCAGTAGGGCCAGCCTCACGGGGGCACCATGGTGGACAGCTCTGCCGTCATTTAGCAAGAGATAAGGAATCCAAGACCCAACAACGACTCAGGTACAAAGGTAACCCCACTGTGATCTTGTTTCTGCCCTCTGCTGTGAAATCCAAATTAGCTTCCGTAAATGCTTAGAAAAGTTTGTCTACTGTAACAGAAATCACTTCAGTGGCTTTAAAGGATAGAAATTTATTTTCTCACAGTTAAAAAAAAAGCAACCAAACCCATTGCTGTCGAGTGGATTCCGACTCAGTGAGCCTACAGGACAGAGTAGAACTGCCCCACAGAGTTTCCAAGAAGCACCTGGTCGATTCAAACTGCTGACCTTTTGGTTAGCAGCCGAGCTCTTAATCACGGTTTAGAGGCTCTTTCTCACAGTTAGAAGGCCAGAAGTCAGAATTCAGGGGACCAGCTCTAGGTGAAGATCTCTCTCTGTTGGCTCTGGGAGAAAACCCTTGTCTTGACTTCTCTAGCCAGCCACCCTTGGGCTTGTAGGCTGGTCTACCTCTGTTGTCTTCAGATAGTGTCAGCTTCCCCTATCTACTTTCTTCTGTGCCTAATCTGCTCTTTTTTATCTCACAAGTGATTCATTGAAGACACACCACACACTGTTATGGTCCCATTAACATAACAAAGAAACCCCTATTCCCAAATGGGATTACATCCACAGGTACAGGAGTTAGGATTTATAAACACATTTTTTTTTGGGAACACAATTCAATCCATAACACCTTGGAAACAAAAGGGGTATTAAAGGAAAACGCTCGAAGTGGGATTCTCGACCCCAGAGTAGATGTATCTCCTGATGTGACTTTTCTGTTGTATTTGGTGCTGTGATACAGCATTCCTTCTATCCCACTAATGGATCCGCTTTCCCAGGGGTTTAGTGCATACCTGTCACCGGGTCTCGGCCCCACTGTGCAGGACTCCCGCAAGTGTGTGCTCTGACCTCTGGTAACTGAACATTCAAACTGAGGAAAAGATGCTTCATCTTGAGGCATGCCATATGGGGTGCGGGATCTTGGTGTGTCTGGGAGAAGTCCCAGGACCCCTGACCAGAGGGCCCCCCATGAACACGTCCACTCATCCTCTTTATCTCCCAATCCATCCCCAGGAAAGGAAGAGGAAATGACCCCAGCGCCGACAGTCCCATCCACTGAGACCCCGGAGCCACCCATCAGGCCACGCCTGGGGGAGCTGACTGTGACTGATGCCACCCCCGACTCCCTGCACCTGTCCTGGATAGTCCCTGAGGGCCACTTTGACCACTTCCTGGTCCAGTACAGGAACAGGGATGGGCAGCCCGAGGTGGTGCGGGTGCCAGGGCACGAGGATGCGGTCACCATCTCAGGCCTGGAGCCGGACCACAAGTACAAGATGAACCTGTACGGCCTCCACGGCGGCCAGCGTGTGGGCCCCATCTCTGTCATCTGGATGACTGGTGAGTGGAGAGTGGAGGCTCTGGGGAGAGGACCTAGCGGGAGGGTCACCCTCTCTCTGGTGATGGTGGCCATGGTACCTTTGTGCCTTTTCCCTGCTGCTCCCCAAGGTCTGACTGTTCCTCCTGGGCAGAGAAGGGTAACTGTGAGTCATGCTGATGACTGCCACCTGTTCCCCCCACCTGACCTGGGGCTCTGGGCGTGATTGTGAGGTGTTGACCCAGCAGGACCACCCAGCCCAAGAATGGGCTTCTCTGAACCAATCTCAGGATCCAGTTGTGGCCACGACATCGCTATCGTTGTCCCCGAGGACATCTCACAGGGCCCCTCCTCATCTTCTCTGTGTCTCTCTTCTCAGCTCCAGAGGAAGAGACCCCCATCCCCACAGAGGCCTCCACAGAGGCCCCGGAGTCCCCCGAGGAGCCACTCCTGGGTGAGCTGATGGTGACAGGATCCAGCACAGACTCGCTGAGCCTCTCCTGGACCATCCCCCAGGGCCACTTTGATGCCTTCACCGTGCAGTATAAGGACAGGGACGGGCGGCCCCAGGTGGTGCGTGTCCGGGGCGAGGAGCGTGAGGTCACCGTGCAGGGCCTGGAGCCCGGGCGCAAGTACAAGATGCACCTGTATGGGCTCTACATGGGGCGGCGCGTGGGCCCCGTGTCCACAGTGGGCGTCACCGGTGAGTGGGGGCCGGGGCAAGGGACTGTGGGAGAACCCCTTTCCCTGGTGGATAACAGCTTAACCGTTCTGCTCCTTCACCCTGAGTGTCCGGGCCTTGGCTCCCCTCTCATCCCTCCCTCCATGGCCGCCGTGGCTCATGCCTAGTGATTTGGCCTTTGTCACTCTGCATCCTCATTGTAGTCTCTGGTGTGGCCTCCCTCTGATGGTCAGGCCACCTCTGAGGGTGAAATGTGCCAGGCACAGGCCGAGACTGACTTACTGGAATTTTCCTTTCTTTCCATCTTAATCACAGCATTCTTTGTTACAACCACACACAAAAAAAGACAGAAAACAGCCCAACATCCAACCACAATGGAATGATTAAATAATAATTTAGGCAACATCTATAAAATGAACTAATATGCCACCTTGGAAATGTTTTAATATAAGACAATTGCTTTATAATGTTACATGGAAAAGAGAGTGCACACTTTTTGTAAGGATGCTAATCACGAGCACTTGAACATAACATGCATGGCAAGAAGGCTGGAAGGAAATGCATCTCTGAGAGACCTGGTCTGTGGGACAGAAGAGGGTGTTCAAACACTTTGTATTTTCTGTTGTGTTCTATTCTCTGTTGTCCAGACTTTCTTAAATGGCAAGCATTTCTTTTATAATCAGGGAAAAGAGAAAAATAGAATGTCTTCTCCTCCCTTCTACTCCTTCGTCCCCCCCGGCCACCCCCCACCTTGCAGTTTATTTCATTTCTAATTATGGGAAAGTTAAAATTTCTGTTCCATAAGAAATTGGTGTGTGTGTGGGGTGGCAGGGGGGAATCACAAGGCAAATTAAATTCCAACAGCACAGTCAATCAGGCCTGCCTTTCCTAAGCCATTCTCAGCCAGATTCTTACATCTATTAAGATATAAGAATCTCATGAGAGTTTCTATGGATGTTAAAGAAGCCATTCCCTCTGAGAATCATTAGTTTGGAGGACAAATAGCTGCCCCTATGATACCAGTTGAAGGTCCCTGGATGGTGCAAACCGTTTATGCTTGACTGCTAACCTAAAGGTTGGCAGTTCAAATCCACCCAGCAGTGCCATGGAAGAAAAGCCTGGCAGTCTGCTTCCAAAAGATCATAGCCATTGAAAATCCTGTGGAGCACAGTTCTACTCTGAAACACATGGCATTGCCATGAGATTCATAGGCAATAATAGGTTTTTTTTTTTTGTTGACACCAATTGAGCAACATTGAGAGTCATGCGTTCATCTCCTGAAGATAAGTCAGATGGAAGAAACCATTTTCTATCTCAGTCACAGCATTCTTTGTTATAACCAAAGGGTGATAGACATCAGGGAGCTTCATTTCTATATATATGCTCAGAGAGTGTCTGTGATGAGAGGAGGGGAAAGATGGGGGGGTCATTAGAAAATGAACATTAAAAGAATTCACACCCTGGGAATATGCTGTTAATTCTCATCCATTGTTCAATTTTTGTTTTGTTTTTGCCTTGCTATCATGATGAATTGCAAGCATGTACAAAGTAAACCAAACCAAACCAAAACAAAAAGCCCATTGCCCTTGAGTTGATTCCAACTCATGACAATTCCATGTGTTACAGAATAGAACTGTGCTCCATAGGGTTGTCGTGACTGTAATCTTTATGGAAGGCCCTGGGTGGTGCAAACAGTTTGCTCTCAACTACTAACCTAAAGGTTGGCAGTTTGAACCCACCTAGCAGCGCCGTGGAAGAAAGGCCTGGCAGTGTGCTTCTATACAGATTATAACTAAGATGACCTTATGGAACAGTTCTCTGTAACATATGGGTTCACCATAAGTTGGAATTGACTCTATGGCAACAGGTAATCTTTATGGAAGTAGACTGATGTGCTGATGGGTGAGTTCAAACCACCAACCTTTAGGTTAGTAGTCAAGCACAAACTGTTTGCACTATTAAGGGACCTTCATACAAAGAGAGTAGAATAACAAACCAACATCCCCTGTTCTTCCTGTTCCATCTGTACCATACCCCACTCCCTGCCCTCTACCCCATTATTAATTTTTTCTCATCAGGAATTTTTTTAAGCCCACATTTTTTTTTTTTTAGTTGTGAAAAGAAAGCAACATTATGGAAACTTTGAAACATAGGAAAAAAGAAAACCTTTCATCATTCCCTCCTGAAGCAACACCCGTCACCAGTAATGATGTGCATAACTCATACTCCCATTCTGTGTTTTCCATGCAGCACATGTTTTAAACTTGCCTTCAGCATGTTTATGTAATTCTTGGTCTTACTTCTGCATGCACTAGTTACATCCTAAATGTTTCCCCTGTGACTACACAAGCTGCATTAATCATCATCATAATGGTTATTTGATGCTTCACAGAGAATGTGCCATACCCGAATTAATCATCTTCACAGGTCATTTGGGTTCCTGACATGTTTTGCTGTCATGAATAATCCCTTAATGAACTCTTCCATGCTATAACTTTTTCCTTCTTTTTAATAATTGTTTTAGGATAGGTGCCCAGAAATGGGATTATTGGGTCAAAGGAAATGAGAATTATTTTGGCTCCTGACACATGTGTCCAAATTGCTTTCTGAAGGTTTGTAACAGTGCAGTCTCGCCAGCAGTTTGTGAATGGCGATGGGGCCTGTCTCAGAGCCTTGGCCACTCCTAATGGCTAATACAAAGGCCCCAGAGCCCTCTAAGCCTATGGTTGACGGAGGAGATTTGTGGGCTGTGTTTGATTGATGTCACCAACAGAGAAAGTCACCCATTAAGCCTGGTTTCTCCATCTCTCTCCTCTCAGTCCCTCATAAGGTCATGGAAGAGACCCCCACCCCCACAGAACCCATCACCGAGGCCCCAGAGCCCCCCAAGGAGCCGCTCCTGGGGCAACTGACAGTGACAGGCTCCACTACAAACTCGCTGAGCCTCTCCTGGACCGTCCCCCAGGGCCGCTTTGACACCTTCACTCTACAGTACAAGGACAGGGATGGGCAGCCCCAGGCAGTGCGTGTCGGAGGCAAGGAACGCAAGGTCATTGTGCAGGGCCTAGAACCAGGGCACAAGTACAAGATGCACTTGTACGGCCTCCACGCGGGGCGGAGTGTGGGCCCCGTGTCTGCAGTGGGCCTCACAGGTGAGTGTGGGCCGGGGGCAGGGCAGGGTGTGGATGATGAGCCTGGGAGAGTTTCCCTTTTCTACCAGCTTCCTGGAAACAGAAATGTTCTCCACAGCACAGGTTCCCTTCAAACTTGAATGCACGTCTAAGTCACCTGGGGAACATTGTTAAAAGGCAGACTTGATTCATCAGGTTTGAGCTGAAGCTTGAAGTGCTGCATTTCAAGCAATATCCTCTGTGATGCTGATGTTTCTGGTCCACGGACCTCGCTTTGAGTAGCAAGCCTCTTCACAACAAAGGAGTGTGAACCTTTACTTAGAATTTGTTGAACATATTTAACCTCCATCAGTGATTTCTTCCTGAGGCCTGGCTGCTCTGTGGCTGACCAGGACAGGATGGGAGATGACAGGGGTCAGGCTACAGTGCATCCTGACAGTAACACCCAGAGCTTCCTGGTTGGAGTATTAACAGAGTTTTTACTCCACTGGGTCAATTTGTTTATTCAGCAAAGACTTGCACATCCTGGTCCAGGCATTATGGAGGCCGGGGTACAAATGGCCTGCAGCTAAAGACCCCCAAGAGCACACCTGTGTGTGAACAAGTTGGGTTTATGCTTCCTGCAGTGAGGGAGAATGCACACCCTGCGGAATCATGGGCATCTCAGAGAGAGGGTGTCAGAAAGGACTTGTTAGAGTATTTGGGCTTGTGAAAGGTGATTTTGGGGAAAGCTTAAGGAGCAGGGAGTTCTGGGCAGTGCAAATGATTATTCTGCCTGACTGCTAATTCAAAAACTTGACATTGGAGTTCACCCAGAGGCACCTCAGAAGAAAGGCCTGGCCATCTACTTTCAAAAAATCAGCCATTGAAAACCCTGTGAAGCACAGTTCTACTCTGACACACATGGGGTCGCCATGAGTCAGGATCAACTCGACAGCAATTGGTTACAGGTTGGCTTAAGGAGCAGGGTTTTGCTCTGGATTGGATGCTGTCAGGAAGGAGTGATCCTACAGTTGTATCTCTTAATAAATTTTATCTATAGAGAGGGCAGATGAGAGTGAGGTGACAGCTGTGATTGGTACAGAAGCAGCAGTCACTCCAGTGAGCCAGGAGAAAGACAGATTTGGTCACTTTTGTGGCTGGGCAGTGTTCAAGTTTTGTCTGTATTCAAACTAATTACAGAGTAACCCCTGGATCCATGATGGTCACAGATGGCCTGGTCTGAAGCTGATATTCCCCCAAATTGCCCATATTCACTAGGAGAACTCTAGACTGTGCAGTGCCACTCCAGCTCCTAGCAGCCTCAGGCCAAGCAGATGGACCAGGAGACTGTCAAATGTCAGAGCTGCTTATCTCCTTCTTTGAGATGAAGCTTTGAAAGTGCCACACAAGTTCTTATCCTAACAGGGCACATAGTCGTGGGGACAGTGAACTTGCAAATACGGCAAAGGGGAGGAGAGTAGGACAGAAAGCCCAGGAGCCAGACCAAGACAAGGCAGGGACACTTTAGCCTGCCCATGGAGACCCCCAAGAGCTAAGACCTGCCTGGTGACAGCATTAGAGAAGGAAGAAGAGGGTGTCAAATCACCCTCACAGCAGGTGCAAAGGCCCAGAGGCTGGAAACAGCATGGTGATGGAGGGACTGAGAAACTTTTGTAGGATGTCTTTTGAAGTGGGGAGATAGCCTTGAGATGTGTCTGGAGGGGAGGGGCAGCTCATGGAGTGTGGGATTCCTTCCAGGGGTAAGGAGGGTGATTGTACAGATCTAAGCTGAAGACTGACACCATCATATCTGCATTTTTAAAAACTCATTCTGGCTGATAGGTGAAGAATGGATGTGGGACGTGGGGACAAGCCTGGTATAGGGAGACCAGTAGGGAGGCAGTAACCTAGGTGAGAGGAGACAGTGGCCCAAGCCAGGAGAGTAGAGGGGTGCAAGGCTCCAGGGGGAAACTAGGAAGGAGAGCTGACCGCACTAGGACATTATGACACCTGGGAGGAGCAGAGGACACTCCCTCGTTTCTGGTTGGGCAGTGGGTGTTCAGAGCTGCCTTCGGCAAGGCAAGGACCAGTGGAGGAGCATGTTTGGGAGCAAAGGCATTATCCAATGGACAATGAGATGCTAACCTGACCCCCAGTGGAGGGAGACCCAAGCACAGGAGCCATGTGGGCCTGGGCTCAGAAGAGAAGCCAGTGCTGGGACAGAGGAAGATTACAGGGATGTTAGTGAATGGTGGTGACAGCATGAGGGTCAGGGAATAGGGAAAGAATCATGGGTTAAAACAGCTGTGGAAGGCACCTTTCTTACTGTTTATTATCTTGTTTTTGTACCTCACCCTTACACATGCTGAAATGAGGAATGAGAGACCTCACCTGTCCCCTCTATCTCTGTCCATCTCCAGAGGATGAAGTTAGGATGACCCCAGCCATGCCCACAGCTGTCTCTGAGCCGCCCTTCAAACCACGCCTGGGGGAGGTGACTGTGACCGACGCCACCCCTGACTCTCTGCACCTGTCCTGGATGGTCCCTGAGGGCCACTTTGACCACTTCCTGGTCCAGTACAGGAACGGGGACGGGCAGCCCAAGGCAGTGCGGGTGCCAGGGCACGAGGACGAGGTCACCATCTCGGGCCTGGAGTCGGACCACAAGTACAAGATGAACCTGTATGGCTTCCATGGAGGCCAGCGTGTAGGGCCCGTCTCCGCCATTGGGGTGACTGGTGAGTGGAGGGTGGAGGCCCTGGGGATGACCCAGCGGGAGGGTCACCCTCTCTCTGGTGATGGTGGCTGTGGTACCTTTTTGTCTTTTCCCTGTGGCTGCCCGAGGTCTGACTGTTCCTCCTGGGCAGAGAAGGGTGGCTGTGAGCCGTGCCACCTGTTCCCCCCACCTGACCTGGGGCTCTGGGCACGTTTGTGAGGTGCTGACCCAGCAGGACCATCCAGCCTAAGAACGGGCTGCTCTGAACTGACTTCAGGTCCCTGTCATGGCCACAGCGTCTCTAGCCTTGTCCCTGAGGACCCAAGGACATCTCACAAGGCCCCTGCCTCACCCTCTCTGTGTCTCCCTTCTCAGCTCCGGAGGAAGAGACCCCCACCCCCACAGAGGTGGAGGAGACCCTGACCCCCACAGAGCCCTCCACCGAGGTCCCAGAGTCCCCCAAGGAGCCACTTCTGGGGGAGCTGAAGGTGATAGGATCCACCTCAGACTCGCTGAGCCTCTCCTGGACCATCTCCCAGGGCCACTTTGACGCCTTCACTGTGCAGTACAAGGACAGGGATGGGCGGCCCCAGGCGGTGCATGTCGGGGGCGAGGAACTCGAGGTGACCATGCAGGGCCTGGAGCCCAGGCACAAGTACAAGATGCACCTGTACGGGCTCCACGCAGGGCGGCGTGTGGGCCCAGTGTCTGCTGTGGGCTTTACGGGTGAGTGGGTGCTGGAGAAAGGGCAAGGTGTGAAGGATGGGCCTGGGAGAGTTTCCCTTTTCTACTGGCTTCGTAGAAACTGAAATGTTCTCCCCAGCAGGGTCTCCCTTCAAACTTTAATCGCATACAAATACTAAGGCAGATTCAATATAGCAGGTTTGGGCTGCAGCCCAAGATGCTACATTTCTGACAAGATCCTCTGTGATGCTCATGCTGCTGTTCTGTGGACTTCACTTTGAGCAGGATGTCTCTTCTCAACCTGAACCTTGTCTTAGAATTTGTTGAAAATTATTTAAAGTTTATCTGAGACTCCCCACTGAGGCCCAGCCACTCTCTGGCTGACCGGGGCTGGGGTGGGATATGAGAGGCTGCAGCACGTCCTGACAGTAACCCTGGAGCCTACTGGTTTGGTTCTCACAGATACATTGATTCAGTGGGTGAGCCCTGAGCCAGACGTTGTGGGAGGTCACTGGGCAGCATCTGACACGGCAGACACCCATGTTCCTGTCCTAATGGGGTGCACAGTCCTTGGGCACTGGCAGTGAACACACAAATACAGCAGAAGGGAGGAGCATGGGACGGGGAGCCCAGAGCCAGGCCAGAACAAGATAGGGACCCCTTAGCCTGCCCAGGGGATGCCTAAGAGCTGAGACCTGCCTGGTGACAGCCTTAGAGAAGGAGGAAGAGGGTGTCAGATCAACATCACAGCAGGTGCCAAGGCCCAGAGGCTGGAAAAAGCCTGGTGCATGGAGGGACTGAGAGACTTTTGTAGGATGTCTTTTGAGGTGGGAAGATAGCTTTCACATGTGTCTGGAGGGGAGAGGACGGCTCATGGAGTGTGAGATTCCTTCCAGGGATAAGGAGGGTAGTTGTACACAGTTTTAAGCTGAAGACTGACACCATCATATTTGCATTTTTAATAACTCATTCTGGCTGTTGGGTGAAGAACGGATTGAATTTGGTGGCAGGTAAGCCTGAAGTAGGGAGACTAGTAGGGAGGCAGTAATCCAGGTGAGAGGAGATGGTGACCCAAAACAGGAGTGGGGTGGATGTGTGGAGATGGCAGGGTTCCGGGAGGAACCTAGGAAGGAGAGCTGAGCACTTTGGAGTCCAATGACAGCTGGGGAGAGGGAGGAGAACAGGACACTCCCAGGTTTCTGGTTGGGCTGTGGGTGTTCTGAGCTTCTTTGGGAGCAAAGACATCATCAAATGGACAATGAGATGTCAACCTGACCCCCGGTGGAGAGAGGTCCTAGATGCAGTGACCACATAGGCCTGGGCTCAGAAGAGAGGGTGGTGCTGGGACAGAGGAGGGGTCACAGAGATGTTAGTAGATGGTGGTGATGGCACTGGTGAATGAAGGTCAGGGCGTAGGAAATCGACAGTGAAGTTTCTAGAAAAGAATCATGGGTTAGAACGGCCGTGGAAGGCATCTTTCTTACTGTTCATTATCTTGTTTTTGTACATCACCCCTACACATGCTGAAATGAGCAATGAAAGACCTCACCTGTCCCCTCTGTCTCTGTCCATCTCCAGAGGATGAAGTTAGGATGACCCCAGCCACCCTCATGGCTGCCTCTGAGCTGCCCTTCAAACCACGCCTGGGGGAGCTGACAGTGACCGACGCCACCCCCGACTCCCTGCACCTGTCCTGGATGGTCCCTGAGGGCCACTTTGACCACTTCCTGGTCCAGTACAGGAATGGGGATGGGCAGCCCAAGGCAGTGCGGGTGCCAGGGCACGAGGACGAGGTCACCATCTCGGGCCTGGAGCCAGACCACAAGTACAAGATGAACCTGTACGGCCTCCACGGCGGCCAGCGTGTGGGCCCTGTCTCCATCATTGGGGTGACTGGTGAGTGGAGGGTGGAGGCTTTGTGGGGAGGACCCAGCAGGATGGTCACCCTCTCTCTAGTGATGGTGGCCGTGGTACCTTTGTATCTTTTCCCTGCTGCTCTCCGAGGCCTGACTGTTCCTCCTGGGCAGAGAAGGCCAGCTGTGAGCTGTGCTGGTGGCTGCCACCTCTTCCCCTCACCTGACCTGGGGCTCTGGGCGTGATTGTGAGGTGTTGACCCAGCAGGACCACCCAGCCTAAGAATGGGCTTTTCTGAACCGACCTCAGGACCCCTGTCGTGGCCCCAGCATCTCTATGCTTCTCCGCAAGGACCCAAGGACATCTCACAGGACCTCTGTCTCACCCTCTCTGTGTCTCCCTTCTCAGCTCCAGAGGAAGAAACCCCCAACCCCACAGAGGTAGAGGAGATCCCAACCCCCACAGAGCCCTCCACAGAGGCCCCGGAGTCCACTGAGAAGCCACTTCTGGGGGAGCTGACGGTGACAGGATCCACCTCAGACTCGCTGAGTCTCTCCTGGACCGTCCCCCGGGGCCGCTTCAACGCCTTCACCGTGCAGTACAAGGACAGGGACGGACGGCCCCAGGTTGTGCGTGTCAGGGGCGAGGAGCGCGAGGTCACTGTGCAGGGCCTGGAGCCTGGGCACAAGTACAAGATGCATCTGTACGGGCTCCACCCAGGGCGGCGTGTGGGCCCCGTGTCTGCTGTGGGCTTCACAGGTGAGTGGGAGCCAGAGAAAGGGCAAAGTGTGGAGGACGGGCTTGGGAGAGTTTCCCTTTTCTGCCAGCTCGTTGGAAACAGAAGTGTTCTCGATAGAGGGACTTCTCTTCAAATCCAGTGCACATCCAAATGTGCACAGGGGATCTGTTTAAAGGCAGACTCCATTCAGCACGTTTAGGCCTGAGTTCCCTGTGATGCTGATGTTTCTGGTCCATGACCCTCAGTTTGAATAGTAAACCTCCTCAGAACAAAGGAACGTGGAGCCTCTCTTAGAATTTGTTGAAAATTATTTCACCTGCATCCACGATTCCTCCCGAGGCCCAGCTGCTCTCTAGCTGACTGGGGCTGCGACGGGAGATGGCAGTGGTCAGGCTACAGCACATCCTGACAATAATACCTGGAACTTTCTGGTTCGGTTTCCACAGATTTATTGATTCAGTGGGTGAGGCCTGAGCTGGGCACTGTGGGAGGTCACGTGGCAGCCTTTGACACAACAGACACACAAGCTCCTGTCCTAATGGGGTGCACAGTCATGGGGACAGGCAGTGAACTCGCAAACACAGCAAAGGGGGAGGGGCACGAGAGCCCAGAGCCAGGCCAAGATAAGGCAGGGACCGCTAAGCCTTCCCATGGGGACCCACAGAAGATTAGAGACTTGCTTGGTGACAGTCTTAGAGAAGGAAGAAGAGGGTGTCAGATCAACGTCACAGTAGGTACAAAGGCCCGGAGATTGGAAACAGCATGGTGATGGAGGGACTGAGAGTCTTTTGCAGGATGTCTTTTGAGGTGGGGAGATAGCTTTGACATGTGTCTGGAGGAGAGGGGGTGACTCATGGAGTGTGGGATTCCTTCCAGGGGTAAGGAAGGGTGGTTGTACAGATCTAAGCTGAAGACTGACATCATCATATTTGCATTTTAAAAAACTCATTCTGGCTGTTTGGTGAAGAATGGATGTGGGGAGTGGGGACAAGCTTAGAGTAAGGAAACCAGTATGGAGGCAGTAACCCAGGTGAGAGGAGATGGGGGCCCAAACCAGGAGAGTAGGGAGGAGGTGGGGGAGGGCAGAGCTCCAGGAGGAACCTAGGAAGGAGAGCTGAGCACTCTGATCCTGTGACAGCTGGGAGGAGTCCAGGACACTTTTGGGTTTCTGGTTGGGCAGTGGATGTTCTGAACTTCTTTGTGAGCAAGGATAAGATGAAATGGGCAATGAGATGCCAAGGTGACTCCTAGTGAAGGGAGACCCCAAGCACAGTGGCCACCAGGGCCGGGCTCAGAAGAGAGGCTGGTGCTGGGACAGAGGAGGGGTCACAGGGATGTTAGCGGACGGTGGTGAGGGCACTTGTGAATGAAGATCAGGGAATAGGAAATCGATAGAGAAGCTTCTGGAAAAGAATCATGGGTTAGAACAGCCGTGGAAGGCATCTTTCTTACTGTTTATCATCTTGTTTTTGTACCTCACCCCTACCCATGCTGAAATGAGGAATGAGGAGACCTCACCTGTCTTCTCTGTTTCTGTCCATCTCTAGAGGATGAAGTTAGGATGAACCCAGCCACCCCCATGGCTACCCCTAAACCTTCCTTCAAGCCTCGCCTGGGGGAGCTGACTGTGACTGATGCCACCCCTGACTCCCTGCACCTGTCCTGGACAGTCCCCGAGGGCCACTTTGACCACTTCCTAGTCCAGTGGAAGGGGGACAGGCAGCCTAAGGGAGTGTGGGTGCCGGGGCATGAGGACGAGGTCACCATCTCGGGCCTGGAGCCGGACCACAAGTACAAGATGAACCTGTACGGCCTCCATAGTGGCCAGCGTGTGGGCCCCATCTCCGTCATTGGGGTGACTGGTGAGTGGAGGGTGGAGGCCCCCAGCGGGGAGACCCAGCCGGAGGTTCACACACTTGCTTTTGGTGGTGAGTGAGCTGGGTTTTTTGGGTGGGACTTGATCAGTGACCACAGACCTGCTCTTGGTAGAGGCCCTTTAGCCCCCTTTTCTTGGCTGACTGTTCACTCCTCCTGGGCAGGGAGGGGCTGTTGAGAGCTTTGGTGTGCTGGTGGCTCCCACCTGTTTCTCCCACCTGACCCGGGCCCTGGGCACGTTTGTGAGGTGTTGACGCAGGAGGACTACCCAGCCCAAGAACGGGCTTCTCTGAACTGACCTTAGGACCCCAGTTGTGGCCACGGCTTCTCTCCAAGACCTGAGGACATCTCACAGGGCCCCTCATCACCCTCTCTGTGTTTCCCTTCTCAGCTCCGGAGGAAGAGACCCCCACCCCCACAGAGGTGGAGGAGACCCTGACCCCCACAGAGCTCTCCACTGAGGCCCTAGAGCCCCCTGAGGAGCCGCTCCTGGGGGAGCTGAAAGTGACAGGATCTACCTCAAACTCGCTGAGCCTCTCCTGGACCATCCCCCAGGGCCACTTTGACGCCTTCACTGTGCAGTACAAGGACAGGGACGGACGGCCCCAGGTGGTGCGTGTCAGGGGTGAGGAGCCCGAGGTCACTGTGCAGGGCCTGGAGCCTGGGCACAAGTACAAGATGCACCTGTATGGGCTCCACGCAGGGCGGCGTGTGGGCCCTGTGTCTGCCATGGGCCTCACAGGTGAGCGTGGGCCGGGGGCAGGGCAGGGTGTGGACGATGAGCCTGGGAGAGTTTCCCTTTTCTACCAGCTTCCTGGAAACAGAAATGTTCTCCACAGCACAGGTTCCCTTCAAACTTTAATGCACATCTAAGTCACCTGGGGAACATTGTTAAAAGGCAGACTTGGTTCATTAGGTTTGGGCTGAGGCTCGAGGTGCTGCATTTCAAGCAAGATCCTCTGTGATGCTGATGTTTCTGGTCCACAGACCTCACTTTGAGTAACAAACCTCTTCACAACAAAGGAACATGGACCTTTACTTAGAATTTGTTGAAAAGTGTTTTACCAGCATCATGACTCCTCATCGAGGCCCGGCTGTTGTCTAGCTGATCAGGACGGAGTGGGAGATATTATGCATCCTGACAGTAACACCCAGAGCCTCCTGGTTCAATTGTTCACAGATTTATTGATACACTGGGTCAACAAAGACCTGTGGGTCCAGAGCTGGGAGCTGGGTGCAGTAGGAAGTTACTGGGGCAACCTTTGACACAACAGATGTACTAGTTCTTATCCTAATGGGATCACCGGCATGGGATCAGGTGGTGAACTTGCAAATTGATCAAAGGCACAGGAGCGTGGGGCAGGGAGCATAAGGCCAGGACAGGACAAGGCAGGGCCTCCACAGCCACCTGCCCATGCTGGCCCCTGAGAGCTGAGGCCTGAAGATTGGCAGGGGTTAGCCAGACGACAGCACCGGAGAAGCAGGAAGAGGGTGTCAGATCATCGTCACAGCAGGGCAAGGGCCTGAAGGCCAGAAACAGCACGGTGCTCAGAGGAGCTGGGATTCTTTTGTAGGGTATCATTTGGGTAGGGAGATAGCCTCGAGATGTGTCTGGAGGGGAGGGGCAGCTCATGGAGTGTGGGATTCCTTCCAGGGATAAGGAGGATGGTTGTACAGTTTTAAGCTTAAGACTAACACCATCATACTTGCATTTAAAAAAAACTCATTCTGGCACTTTGGTGAAAAATGGATGGAAGGGGGAACAAACTTGGAGTAGGGAGACCAGCAGGGAGGCAGTAACCCAAGTGAGAGGAGATGGTGGCCCAAACCAGGAGAGTAGGGTGGGGGTGGGGAAGGGAAGGGCTCCAGGAGGAACCTGGGAGGAGAACTGAGCACTCTGAGCCCAGTGGCAGCTGGGAGGGGCCCAGGATACTTGAGGATCTGGTTGGAGAGTGAGTTCAGAGTTGCCTTCCCCAAGGCAAGGACTCAGCACCTGTCCCCTCTGTCTCTGTCCATCTCCAGAGGATGAAATTAGGACGACCCCAGCCACGCCCACGGCTGCCCCTGAGCCTCCATTCAAGCCGCGCCTGGGGGAGCTAACTGTGACTGATACCACCCCCGACTCCCTGCGCCTGTCCTGGATAGTCCCCGAGGGCCACTTTGACCACTTCCTGGTCCAGTACAGGAATGGGGATGGGCAGCCCAAGGCAGTGCGGGTGCCGGGGCACGAGAACGAGGTCACCATCTCCGGCCTGGAGCCGGACCAAAAGTACAAGATGAACCTGTACGGCCTCCACGATGGCCAGCGTGTGGGCCCCATCTCTGTCATTGGGGTGACTGGTGAGTGGGGTGGAGGCCCTGGGAGGGTACCCAGCAGGAGGGTCTTCTCTCTGGTGATGGTGGCCATAGTACCTTTGTGTCTTCTACCTTCAGCTCCCTGAGGTCTGACTGTTCCTCCAGGGCAGAGGAGGGTGGCCATGAGCTATGCTGGTGGCTGCCACCTGCTCCCCTCACCTGGCCTGGGGCTCTGGGCACATTTGTGAGATGCTGGCCCAGCAGGACCACCCAGCCTAAGAAGGGCTTCTCCGAACTGACCTGAGGTTCCAGTTGTGGCCATGGCTTCTCTATCCTTGTCCCTGAGGACCCAAGGACATCTCACAGGGCCCCTCCTCACCTTCTCTGTGTCTCCCTTCTCAGCTCCGGAGGAAGAGACCCCCACCTCCACAGAGATGGAGGAGATCTCCACCCCCACAGAGGCAGACGAAACTCCAACCCCCACAGAGCCCTCCACAGAGGCCCCGGAGCCCCCTGAGGAGCCACTTCTGGGCAAGCTGACAGTGACAGGATCCAGCACAGACTTACTGAGCCTCTCCTGGACCGTCCTCCAGGGCCACTTCGACACCTTCACCGTGCAGTACAAGGACAGGGACGGGCAGCCCCACGCAGTGCGTGTCAGGGGCGAGGAGCGTGAGGTCACTGTGCAGGGCCTGGAGCCGGGGCACAAGTACAAGATGCACCTGTACGGGGTCCACATGGGGCGGCGCGTGGGCCCCGTGTCTGCAGTGGGCACGACGGGTAAGAGGGCCAGGCCCTGATTCCGGCATTCTTCTGTGTTGTTCTTACTCTTTTTCTCTGTCATATCTCAGCCCTCTTCACAGATGGGCACTGGTTTTCCTCCCTTTTTCAAATGGTGCTAATGATCCTGCTTTGGTCCTTGAATTGAGTGATGAGGATTAATGGAGATTGTACGGAGTTGGTTGGGCATGTAGTTATGCCTCATGATTGCTAGCTTTCTTCCTCTAATCATGATCTGAGACCTCAGACTTGCTCAGTTGTTGAAATGTGGCTTTCTGATTGGGTAATATAGTGCCTCAGACCATGGCTCTGAAATAAGTGGCCTGCGTCTGAATCCCACATGCAAACATACTGTGATTTTGTAGCAGTTTCTTAACCTCTCTGTGCCTCCCATTGCTGCAAAATGGGGACGATAATAATAATAGCACCTGCTCCGTATGCTGTGTGAGGCACACACTATGTGTAAACTGCTTACAGCAATGCCTGGCATACAGTAATTGCTCTAGAAGGGTTTGCTGTGTAAGTGTTAATCTCACAGCCTCAGAAGAGCCCTGCCTTCCAGGGTGCAGGTGCCTGTCTACAGACCCCTCAGCCTTCCTCCTTTCTTCCAGTCCCCCTGCCCACTGAGCCTCCGAAGGAGCCCCGCCTGGGGGAGCTGTCCGTGGCAGCCGTGACCTTGGACACCGTACACCTCTCATGGACAGTGGCCCAGGGCCCCTTCGACTCCTTCCAGGTCCAGTACAGGGATGTGCAGGGGCAGCTCCAGGTGGTTCCCGTTGGCGGAGAGCTCCGAGAGGTCACCGTCTTAGGCTTGGAAGCAGCCCGAAAGTACAAGTTCCTCCTGTTTGGACTCCAGGATGGAAAACGGAGGGGGCCAGTCTCTGTGGAGGCAAAGACAGGTGAGTGAGGGCTGGAGGCCGCCTGTAGGCTGGGAGTTTCATGGCTGTCCTTCGCGCCCTTGTGGCGACAGTTGGAATTTCATGAGTCAGAATCCACTCCAAGGCGATGGGTTTGCTTGTTTTTTGGTTGGTGTCCTGCACTCCAACCTCTCAGGGCCTCAGGGTCATGTATTTACTGGATCCAGTGACTTCCAGGCCCTAGGCTCCCTTCCTTCTCTCCACTCCTATCCTTCCTTCTACCCTTCCTACATGCCAAGGGCCACCTGCTTTATTCCCTGGCTCTTCTTTCATCTTTCTCCTTTGCCTCCCCGCTTCCTCCCAGATCACGGGAACCTCCATTCTCAACTACCAGCTCACAGAGCCCCAGCACCCAGAGGGAACTCGGTGGTCTGCCTAATTCTGTCACCATTTCTGTCACTCTCCATGCATCCCACTCTCTTTTCCAGCTCCAGACGTGAAAACTTCTCCCCGCCTTGGGGAGCTGACAGTGACAGACGTGACCCCTGACTCTGTGGGCCTCTCGTGGACAGTCCCTGAGGGCGAGTTTGACTCCTTCATGGTCCAGTACAAGGACAAGGATGGTCAGCCTAAGGTGGTGCCTGTGGCTGCAGACCAGCGCAAGGTCACCATCCCCAGCCTGGAGCCCAACAGGAAGTACAAGTTCCTGCTCTATGGACTGGCAGGCAGGAAGCGCCTGGGGCCTGTCTCTGCTGATGGCACCACTGGTGAGCACCCATACTGCCTCTCACCTTTTCCAAACCCATCTCAGCCCAACCCCCTAGAGCTGGCCCCTGGCCTTCCCGTAAAATCCATTCTCCTGTGTTCAGCCTTGGCATAAAAATCCTACTAACAAAAACAAACATTTACTGAGCTCCTACTGTGTGCCATGAGTCCCTGAGTGGTGCACATGGTTAAGCACTTGGCTACTAACTGAAAGGTTGGCAGTTGAATCTACCCAAAGGCACCTCGAAAGAAAGGCCTGGCAGTCTACTTCTGAAAGGTCACAGCCATTGAAAACCCTATGAAACACGGTTCTACTCTGAAACACATGGAGTTGCCATGAGTTGGAATTGACTTGATGGCAACTAGTTTGGGTTTTTTTTTGGGGGGTGGCTACTGTGTGCCAGGCACTATTCTGAGCATTTTATATGCATTATTTCCTGTATTTGTTGACCGCCCATGTAATAAAAAGGATACAGGCTTTGGTGCCAGACAGACCTGTGTTCAAATTGCAGTTCTAACCTTTGCCAGCTATGTGTGCCAGCTGTGTGGCCTCTTCATTCTCCTGAGCCTCGGTTTCCTCACCTGCATAATGGTTATGAATAATACCCATTGTGCTCCATAAATGATCACATCCTCCTCCCTCCGGCCCAACTCTGAGGCAAGAGATGGAAAATACAGGAGGACCTTGGCTGCAAAGACTATGGAAAAATCAGTGTCATTGTGCCATGACTCAGCCCCCTGAGGAGGGGTGGGGTAGGCCACTGACCCCTACTCCATTCCCAGGACCATGAGTCACCCTGGCCAGACAAGGATGGGGCATGTGGCCAGTCAGGCCTGGGGCCCTCAGACCCCATAATTCTCTTTCCCCAGCCCTCAATATGGGGGCCCCCATCAGTCAACACCCACCCCTACGGGGGCAAGTCTCTTCCCAGCTCTGCCTCTGGCTTCCTCTCTGCCCTACCTGGCTTCCCTGGACTGTAGTATTCATGCCCTGCTGGGAAGTGGGTGGAAAGGGAGGCCATGGCCACGGGTGATGGGAGCCCATGAGACTGGCTGGCTGCCTCACTTTTTGAGTGTGTCTCCCTGACAAACTGAGATCCACTCTGGGAGTTTTTCTCAGCTCTGGCTGCACTGTGGTCAGGGGGCTGGGGGTCAGAGCAACCCAATCCCCTGAGAAATGTGGCACTGCTCAGCCTCACCATTCACCCCTCCTTATGTGATGAGCTTTTATGCATGTGCTGCACCCTTCATCAAAGCAGGGAAGGAGCTGGGGGAGGAGACTGCACTGGTCAGCCCTCATACCCGTAGGGCAGGACAAGAGCAGGCCTCTTTCCTCAGGTGGATTTCCCTGAGGCCACACTGCAGGGACCCCTCCCCAGACCCTCACATCTCCCAGAAGTTGCAAGGGCCAAGGTGAAGGCTGCTTTTGACTAAGAGTTTCCCTGCCACCCACAGCACCCCTGAAGGAGGAGCGGCCCCCACCCCGCCTCAGGGAGCTGACAGTGACTGATGAGACCCCAGACTCCCTGCGCCTCTTATGGACAGTGGCCCAGGGTTCCTTCGACTCCTTCGTGGTCCAGTACAGGGACACGGACGGGCAGCCCCAGGTGGTGCCTGTGGCTGGAGACCAGCGCGAGGTCACCGTGGAGGGCCTGGAGCCAGACAGGAAATACAAGTTCCTGCTCTATGGGCTCCTTGGAGGAAAGCACCTGGGCCCCGTCTCTGTTCTGGGAGTGACAGGTAAGCGGGTGGCTGTCCTTCTTGTACTTGGCAAAACATTGGCCTGGCAGCCCTAGCACGGCTTGCCTGAGGGAATTTCCTTGTGCCTTTGGGCTGAAGAGGAAGGGATGGGCAGAGTGGGCAGGCGGGGAAGAGGGAGCCCTGCCCAGGGCAGAGGAAGAAGGAAGAGGGCTTCCTGTGGTGTCAGTGCTGACTTTTATCCGTTGGCCAGTCAAACGCAGGGTCCAGGACAGATGGGAAGGAAAGGGCCCAGCAGTGGTTCCTGGGCCTGCTCTCTGCCCCACTACTGCCAGCTGCTCCCATTACTTGGTTGGGGCAGCTGTCACCTCCTAGCAGAGTGGCCTTGACAGCGGCAAAACCCTCTCCCATGGCCAAGTCCAGACTATTTTCTCCAATGGAAAATTACTGGACACACCCACACAAAAATCCATTGCCATCAAGTCGGCTACCCTGTAAGATAGAGGGGGAGATGATGGGAACCTATAGCAGTGATTGCATTTATGGGGCAGGTTCCTCTGCTGGGCCACATGGGCCTGACCTGGCTGGCACGATTTGGCCCAGGGTGCTCCCCAGCCAGTCCCCCATCCTCTCACCCTTGGCTCTTCTAGAATGCGGCTGCACATGGCCTGAGCTCAGCAGTGGCTAAGATATTCATAGGTTGGGTGATGAGCATGGGCTTCCCACGTCGAGGCATATCCTGTGCAAACATCCAGAGGTGGGTTTGATAGGACTCAGGGGTGCAGAAGGGGACAGCAAGTGGCTGATTCAGACACAGCAGAGGAACCCCACAAAGGAGTAAGGGGCCACCATAGCCTCCTGAGCAGGAAACGGACCATAGTGTTGGGGCTCAGAGAAGCCCTAGGGGTGGCAGGAGTCAGTGCCAAAGCAGGCATCTGGGGGATTCAAGAGAAGGAAGGTACTAGAAGAGCCTCAGTCTCCCCTTTCTCTCCACCTGGCTGCAAAGGCCAGGATTTGAAAAGTCCCACCTCAGCCTTGGGCCAGCCCTGGAACCCCCTCTTTAGGGGAAGAAATGGAGAGGGGAGGGCCCCATGGCATCCCACTCAGCTGCTCCCCTGGGCTTCTCTTATTCAGCCCCAGAAGAGGACATGGCAGCCACGTTGCACCCTGACACAGAGGCCCCTGAACCCCCTGAAGAGCCCCGCCTGGGGTCACTGGCAGTGACTGACGTGACTCCAGACTCCTTGCACCTCTCATGGACAGTGGCCCAGGGCCCCTTTGACTCCTTTGTAGTCCAGTATCAGGACGCAGATGGGCAGCCCCAGGCTTTGCTTGTGGGCAACAACCAGCACAAGGTCCTGGTCTCAGGCCTGGATCCCAGCACCTCCTACAAGTTCTTCCTCTACGGCCTCCACGAAGGGACACGCCTGGGGCCCATCTCGGCCGAGGCCACCACAGGTACCACCAGGCGAGGGCCAGCTGCTTTGCCTCACCCACCTCTAGTCTGGGCTGGGAAGGGTGAAGGGGTGCCTAGAAGTGGTGATTGCAGGGAAAGAGCATGAGGAGGGCACCATGGAGGAAGAAGTGGACTGTGTCTGAGCAGCTCTTGGCACTACACAAACATGTTGCTGTTATGACTCCTTCCTGTGGGTGCGAGCCCCTCCTTAGCTCCATTTGGCAGATGAGGAAGTAGGGGTCAGGGGTGGGGTGGCCAAAGGGACCTGCCCAGGTCACCAAGCCAATGTGCTTCTGTCTCCAAACCCTTCTGTCCCGCCCACTCCATACAGGGCAGGCTCCTGCCGGGCAGACCCCAGGGGAGCCAGGCCCCCGCCTGTCCCAGCTCTCGGTGAGTGACATGACCACCAGTTCCCTGCGGCTCAACTGGGAGGCCCCGCCCGAGGCCTTCGACTCCTTCTTGCTCCGCTTTGGCGTCCCTTCACCAAGCACTCTAGAGCCACACTCACGTCCTCTGCTGCAGCGGGAGCAGACAGTGCCCGGGGCACTTCGCTCAGCCGTGCTCCGGGACCTGCGACCTGGGACCCTGTACAGCCTCACACTGTATGGGTTGCGCGGGCCCCACAAGGCTGACAGCATCCAGGGCAGCGCCCGCACCCTCAACCCAGGCAAGGCCCCACGCCAGGCACACACACTCAGCCCAAAGTGGGGGTCTCTGTACTCCGTATATGGTTAAGCACTCTAGCCGAAAGACTGGTGATTCGAACCCACCCAGAGGTGCCTCAGAAGACAGGTCTGGCGATCCGCTTCTGAAAGATTACAGCCTTGAAAAACCTGTGGAGCAGTTCTACTCTGCACACCTGGGATCGCCATGAGTTGGAATCCACTTGATAGCAAGTAACAACAACATGGTGGCACCTAGGGCCTCAGCCAGAAGGAAGCTGGTAGTTGGTGGAGGGCTTAGTGGGTTCTAAAGCAACTTCCATTTCTAGGGTCTAGAGGAAAGGGGTGGTGGTGGGCACATCCAGGGAGAAAAAAGAGGAAAGATATCCTGGCCCTCCCTGCCCTGTGCCCTCACCATCATTCCTTGCCCCCCTCTCGCCCCAGTTCTGGAGAGCCCCCATGACCTCCAATTCAGTGACATCAGGGAGACCTCAGCCAAGGTCAACTGGATGCCCCCACCATCCAGGGTAGACGGCTTCAAAGTCTCCTACCAGCTGGCAGATGGAGGTGACACCCTTTTGCACATGTCCTTTGCTTTTGTTTCTCCTGGCCCCCTGCCCTGTGTCTACCCTCCAGCTCCTCTCAGGTTCCTTGGGTAGCTTCCCAACCCACAACGTGCTTTCAGGGGAGCCACAGAGCGTGCAGGTGGACGGCCGGGCCCGGACCCAGAAACTCCAGGGGCTGATCCCAGGCGCCCGCTATGAGGTGACTGTGGTTTCTGTCCGAGGGTTTGAGGAGAGCGAGCCTCTCACAGGCTTCCTCACCACAGGTGAGAGGGACAGGGACATGGGCGGGAGGTAGGGGGACAAGAAGAAGAGAACCTGGGTAGGGGTTGAGAGTGAACGCCATGGGGAAAGGGAGGCATTGGAGGCTCCAATTTTGGACAAGAGGCCCAGCAAAGTATGGGACAGTGGTGGGGGGAGCAGCAGGGAACAGCTCTGAGCCCCCTCCCTTTCTCCCAGTTCCTGACGGCCCCACCCAGCTTCGTGCACTGGATTTGACCGAGGGATCTGCCTTGCTGCACTGGAAGCCCCCCCAGGCCCCGGTGGACAAATACAATGTCCGGGTCACAGCCCCAGGGGGTGAGCGGGGACTGAAGCCTCTGGAGGGAGTTGTCCAGGGTGGGGAGAACAGGCTGGACTTGGCAGGGCCTGGAGGGCAATAGCTGACGCCTGCCCCCTCCCAGCCCCGCCTCGACAGGCCTCTGCCCCGGGTAGCGCCGTGGACTACCCCCTGTACGACCTTGTGCTCCACACCAACTACACGGCCACCGTGCATGGCCTTCGGGGCCCCAACCTCACTTCCCCAGCCAGCATCACCTTCACCACAGGTACGGCCTCTGGGGAGTGCGGGGCAGAAGAAAGGGGTGAGGGAGCTGGGATGGGCATCCCTCATCTTCTCTTCTCACCTTCCTGTCCCAGGGCTGGAGGCTCCCCAGGATTTGGAGGCCAAGGAGGTGACCCCACGCACAGCTCTGCTCACTTGGACTGAACCCCAGGTCCCACCCACAGGCTACCTGCTCAGCTTCAACACCCCTGGTGGACAGACCCAGGTGATCCAGCCCTGCCCCACTCCCCTCCCTTGGCTGTAGTCTAGGAGGTGCTGCCTCTGCCTCTCCTGTGGGGTGTCCCCTCCCCTGACTTGCCCTTGTCTATCCCACAGGAGATACTGCTCCCTGGAGGCATCATCTCTCACCAGCTCCGAGGCCTCTTTCCTGCCACCCCTTACAGTGCCCTGCTCCGAGCTGTGTGGGGCCAGAGCTTCTCGCCACCCGTGTCCACCACCTTCACCACTGGTACCTGGGCCTGGGGACTGAGGTGGGGCTAGGGCTGGAGGGCTCAGAAAGAGGACTGACCCCTCCCTCTCCTCCCCTAGGTGGACTGCAGGTCCCTTTCCCCCGGGACTGCGGGGAGGAGATGCAGAATGGGGCCGGCACCTCGAGGACCACCACCATCTTCCTCAACGGCAACCGCGAGCAGCCTCTGAACGTGTTTTGCGACATGGAGACAGATGGGGGTGGCTGGCTGGTGGGTGATAGCGGGAAGCCACACAGGGGAGGGGCTACTTTCCCAGGAGTCAGAGGCTGATGGTGTCCCCACCTGCCTCCCAGGTGTTCCAGCGCCGCATGGACGGACAAACAGACTTCTGGAGGGACTGGGAGGACTATGCCCACGGCTTTGGGAACACCTCTGGGGAGTTCTGGCTGGGTCAGTGCCTCACAGGGATTGGGGGTCCAGGGAGAGAGTGGGGATCCCGTGGACACCCAGACCCTGATGAGGGCTTGCTCCCCTCTGCCCCCAGGCAACGATGCCTTGCACAGCCTGACCCAAACTGGTGACTATTCCATGCGTGTGGACCTGCGGGCTGGGGACGAGGCTGTGTTCGCCCAATACGACTCCTTCCAAGTAGACTCGGCTGCTGAGTACTACCGCCTCCACCTGGAGGGCTACCATGGCACTGCAGGTCAGGGGCGGCTGCAGGGTGGGGTGGGGGGAGGGGTTGCCCAGAGGGACGGCTCTCACTGCTCCTTCCAATCCCGGCCCAGGGGACTCCATGAGCTACCACAGCGGCAGTGTCTTTTCCACTCGTGACCGAGACCCCAACAACTTGCTCATCTCCTGTGCGGTCTCCTACCGCGGGGCCTGGTGGTACAGAAACTGCCACTACGCCAACCTCAATGGGCTCTATGGGAGTACAGTGGACCACCAGGTGAGGGGCCAGGGACGCAGCTTGAGCTGCGGCGGTTGGGGATCGGCCTCCCTGGGTTTGAACCCAGCAGTGTGACAGGATCCCTGAGTTACGGAGCCATTGGGTGCCTCAGGGCCTTCATCTGTGAAATGGGATAATAATGCCAGTTTCACGGTAAGAAGATGATTTATTGGATGCCTAGGATCAGCTCAGGATGAAGCCTCAATCCTTTGCAGTTGAGGGTGTTGAAGGAGGCAGGGAGGGAGAAGGTTGAATGATTAATAAGAACCCCCGCCCCGCGCCATGGGACATCTGGTTTTGACTCCACAACCCCCTTCTCAGGGAGTGAGCTGGTACCACTGGAAGGGCTTCGACTTCTCGGTGCCCTTCACGGAAATGAAGCTGAGACCAAGAAGCTACCGGCCCCTGGCCCGGGGAGGCTGAGCCGTTGCCCACCTCTCTCGGCCCCAGCACGACTGCCGAGCACTGAGGGGTCGCACCGAGAGAAGAGTTAGGGGCCGCCTTCACCATCCAGCCACGGGAGGACGCCTTCTCCGCCCGCGATCTCACAGCACTATGTTTACAGGGGGGAGGGGAGGGATTTGTACGGGGGCAATAAAAGGAGAAACTGAGGCACGCGGCCGGCAGTCATTGGCTGTCTCCCAGGCCCGGGACACCCGGGCCCCGAGGCTGCAGCCGCACCTGGAAAGGTGGCACCTGGAGGGAGATGCTGCTGTGGGGCTGGGGCTGCAGCGAGGGCAGGGCGCCGGCGGGCGGCAGCAGCGTGAAGGTCCGGAGCAGCTGCATCAGCACCACGAAGATCTCCAGGCGCGCCAGCGGCTCGCCCAGGCACACGCGCGCGCCGCAACCGAAGGGCAGCGCGCTGGGGTGCGCGCCTGGCTCCAGAAAGCGCTCTGCCGGTGGGCGGGCGACAGAGTGCGGTTAGCACCGCCCAGACCCGCCTCCGCCCGTGCTGCCGGCCCGGCCCGCCACCGCTACCTACCGGGCCAGAACTCGTGCGGCCGTTCCCAGACCGTCTCGTCGAGATGGGCGCCTAGGAGGTTGGGGATGACGACCATGCCCTCAGGGATGTCATAGCCTAGGATGCTGGAGGAAGGACGGAGTTAGAGACAGGCCAGGACCCCGCTTGGGCCCTCCCCACAGATCCCTACCCCCTCGGAAGCCACCTGCTGGGCCGAGTGGTGCGGTGGGGCAAGGCCAGGGGCACGGAGGACCGCAGGCGCAGCACCTCGGCGATGGTGGCGTTGAGCAAGGGAAGCCGGGCGCGATCTTTGTACTGGACCCAGGAGTCCGAGGCACTGGGGCCCAGCTCCCGATCCAGCTCCTCCTGCAGTTGCTGCTGAATCTGGAAAGCGGGGCAAACCTGGCGTCTCGTGTCCGGACCCTGCCCCCATCCCTGTGGGGGCTGCCCGGCCCTTGGTCATGCCCCAGCACCTCCAGCTGAGCCCAAGTTCTGGTTAGGAGAAGGTGCCCCCTCTGGGCTAACACAGCCCGCGGAAGTCGCACCGCTCTGAGCAGAGCGAGCTGGGTCTCTGTCTGCCCTTGCCAGGCTGCCAGGAGTCTTTGTGCCTGCCCCAGGGCGCACCTCAGGGTGATGAAGCAAGAACATCACTGCCCAGGAGAGGGTGGTCGCTGTGGTGTCCGTGCCACCAATGAACAGGTCCACTGTAGCCATGTGCACGTGCCCGTCAAGGAGCTGCCCCGCACTGCCCTCTTCCACGTTGTGCTTCCTCAACCCTTGCAGCATGTAGTCCATCATGTCCCTGCACTCGCCGACCATGAGGCTCTCCTGGGGAGAGGAGGGGGAGTGGGGCTGGCTGCCAGGCTGGGGTGGAAGGGGCTGAGGGTGGCAGCAGGTCCAGGGCTGGGGGGATTCCAGAGAACCTGCCTAGCCCTGGGCAGTGGCGCCCCTGCAGAGGGCCTGGCAAGGAGCTCGCAGTGCAGTTCCCACCTTGTGCCGCCTCAGCTGCTCCCTCACCATGTGGTCCCTCCTCTTCAGGGCCCGCTTCAGCCTCCATAGACCTGGGTTAGGGAAGAACTGGGGCAGGAAACAAGAGCGTGTAGTTGTTGGGAAGGAAGCCTGCTCCCTCACCCCCCATGCCACGATCTGAAGTGTATGGGCTCCACCTCCTCACCCTGAGAAAGGGAACAATGTCCAAAATTTGGATGGACCAGTGGTCCCAGGTGCTTAACAAGTCATAGATGCAGTCATGAAAGGCGTGCACTAGGGAGTCCTCCTGCCAGAAAAGGAGGAAGCCCTTTCCATTCAGGCCCAGGAACAGGTCAGGAAGGAGCAGGGGAGGGGCTGGAGGTGTATGAGGGCAACAGAATCTGGACCTTGTTTCCAAAGGTGAGGTAGCAGATGATGGTGCAGGTGAGCAAGGAGAATTCCTTGTAGATGGTCACGGGGGCACTGGCCTGGGCTCTCATGCGCTGGGGAGAAGGGACATGAGCTAAGTAGGCCAGGGGGCTGCTGGGAGAGGTGAGGCTGACCTGGGGCAGCTGTGGGAGGCCAGAATCACCTCGCAGAACTCCTGGGTCAGCTCCTGCATAAGGGGCTCCATGGAGCTTCGGATGCCCAGCAGCAGGGCTGAGCGGGCGAGCTTCTTGTGGGTCTTCCAGAGCGGGGAGTAGTCCCCTAGTGACACATCCTGGTAGTCCTGAGATGCCAGCTTGTCTGCGGGGGAGGGGGAAGAGGGCAGGTACTGAGGAAACCAGGGGCCTGGTGCACCCCTCTGAGTCTCACTCTGGCCCTCTGCCTCCTCCAACCCCATCTCTTCCCTCAAGAAATGCCCCTGCCCCTTACAGGACGGTGTCTGGGGTCTGCCAGCAAAGTCCACCCACTTCTTGACCATGGCCTCCTCAATGGTCCTCTTGGAGTTCAGCACTACCACCTCTGGGAAGGAGCCAGAGCAGGGTGTCAGCAGGGAGAGGACCCCGCTGGCCCGTTCCCATGGGAAAGAGGAGGTGCTCACCTTGCAGCCCCAGGCGAAGCCTGTAGACAGGCCCGAGTTTCTGAGTCAAGCCAAGCAGGTAGAAGGGGAGGTTGGGCTCCAGCAGGTGCAGGAAGCCTGGGACGAGAGGTGGGAGGTGGAGGGTCCTGAGCATCCACCAGCCCCATAGCAGGCGGGCGGTGGCCAGCAGGGGCAGCAGCAGCAGGAGCCCCAGGAGTAGCATGGCCGAGACCCACACAGAGGCCCCGGTGCAGCCACTTATAGCTCTTGAGCCCCTGCCAGCCAACTTGGGCTGTTTTGAGACTTCTTTGATCCCTCCCCTCAGGCCCCTTCTCACCATCCTGCCCTCCGAGTGGTGGTGCATTCCTGAAATGACGCTTGGCCTTGAGGAGTCCCATTTCAAAGACCTTACCATCCATCAGAAGAAAGGAAGGAAAAAGCAGCCCTGACCTTGCTCCTGCAGCAGGAATCTGTCTTCTGGCTCCACATCAATCATGCAGGCCAATGTGTTTACCCCCCATCCCCTACCCCAGGCCTGGGCTCTCTCCTCCTATCACCCTGCCTTGGATCAGCTTGTGGCTACAAAGTCTGTCTCAGAGAGACAGTATGCCATTTCTAATATGTCTTTCAGGATTGCCTGAAGAACAAAATGAGATGAGTGATTTGCGTAGTTTTTTTAAAAACCAGGGCGACTGTGCGCACTGGTTTGCCTGGGGCATCCCAGTGTATGCCTGTAGTCCCTGCGTAATTAATAGTGCCCTCTTTCACTCTCAGCTGTGTCCAGGAGAAGATGAAGAATTACATGGTCCCCCATTTTAGAGCACTTACCACCTACCAGACACTGTACTTCACCCATATTAACCAGGCTATGGGGTCAATACTATCATAAGTGGCTTGCCCACGAGCACACAGCCAGCAAGTGGCTGAGCCAGGATTTGGCCTTAGCAATCTGGCTGCAGAATCTGTGCCCTTAACCATTCGGAGAGCCTCTCTTTGGTTGCAAGGAAAAGAGACCAGCTTGAGCTGGCCTGAGCCAAAAGCAAGAATTATTTTATGGATACAGGGTTGTCTTATGAGAATTGTTTTATGGATACAGAGGAGGGGACCTCATTGGCATTGGAAGGCCAGGGATGGGGGACTGAAAAACCCCTAAGGATGGGCAATTTACTAGCTCCGTCCTTCCTCTCGCCCCTTTCTGTCTTCCCCCCTCCTCCCCTCCCTTCCCTTCTCTATTTCTCTACATTCATGCTTCTTCTGCCCCCCGCCCCCGACCAGTGCAGGACTGCCTTCAGGGGGCAGGCCCAGCCTCAGGAAGAGTTTAAATTCCTGACAAGTGACTATCAGGAGCCACTTTGTGGGTGAGGAGGCAGTTGAGGAGCTTCGAGGAGGGGCTTGGGGAGAGGTCATGCCAAATAAGGGTGGCAGGTATCAGTGAAGGTTTGGAGGTAACATGATGCCCAAGCCTCAGGTGACAGCCTGTTCACACTGTCCCCAACTCCCTACCCCTGGCTCTGTAGACTGACCCAGATGAGCATCAGACCCCAGCGTCCAGAGGTGGGAGGTCCTTCTCCCCTTAAAGCTTTACCCAGAGCGTAGATGGTGGTGTCGGAGAGCCAGAGTTGAGATCCAGGCTGTGCTACCTACTAGCCTGACTGATTAACTGCTGGAGGACCTGAGGAAGAGGTTCAGGCTGTACCTGGTTCCAGGCCTGGGATGGGAGGGAGAAAAGAGGGGTAGGCTTTCTGGGGTTGGGCAGTGACAGATTCCTCCTTTCTCATAGTTGACCTCTTAGACCCAGGCCACGTCTTACCACAATGGCAGCCAAATCCTCAGCTCTGGTAAACAGATTTCTACTACCATCATGGTGACTGGCTTTTGGGAAAGAGATCTGATAGGCAACCACTGGGCCATGTAAGCAACAGCCCCGGGAAGCCTCTGAGGAAGGTCAGAGAAATAGGAGGGGCTCAATTCGAAAGCTGGAGTGCTTGTGGATGCATCCCTTTATAACTGGACTCCATTTACCTCACCAGCCCCATCTCTTCCACCCCACCTCCAAATCCAAATTCTAGACCTGATGAACTACATACAGTGCCCCAAATGTGCTCTGTCCTGGTCCTGGCCTCTGGCCTTTGTCTCTTCTTCTCCTGCCTTAACTCTTCTACCCCCACTATCTTTTTTTGCCTGGCTCCTTTTCAGCCTTTGAACCCAACTTAGATGTCACTTCCTCCAGGAAGCCTTTCCTGCCTCTCTTCTGACACTCTCCCTCCTGATTGGGTTCGATGCCCTTACTGTGTGCCCCTCAGGACCATGGGGCTCCCCTACATCACACCTTTCACAGAAGACAGGGACTGCGCATCTGCTGGTCTGTCTCCCCCAACCGTGAAGTGAGTGAGTTCATAGCTGTATCCCTGGTACCTAGCACAGGGCATGGGGAGGAGCCAGGAATTTCTGTTGAATGACTGGCAGGTTGCTGAACTATCTCAGTTTTCATCAAAATTAACCTCGCATAAATTCCTTTATACAGATTTCTGAGTCACCCCTGAATATCCCAGTGATGCCACCGAATGGAGGGGAGACTAGACAGGCGGGGTGGGGAGGGTTAACCCAATTGCACAGCAGTCTTCTCAGAATATTAGCAAATCCATCAAGGTCAGCCTTTTGGCTGGTTTAAAGTCAGTAACTGGAATGAAGACATGACTGGCTCTGAGGATTGCACAACTCTGGGGAAATTACCAAATGCCACTAATACTAGGATCGAGTTTCAACAGGCTTTCAACTGACCCGGGCTCAACTCAGTGCAACAGACCCAGAACTGCCAACCGCATGAGGACAGAGGGGCACGTGTGGCTGGACAGCAGCTTCTACAGCCAAAGAACTGAGGTGTTAGCTGCCCACAAGCCCAGCCTGAGGTGGCCACATGGGCAGTGGAGTGCCCTAGAGGCACAGCTGAAGTATGTATGGACTCTGGGGCCTCAGGATGCAAGCTGTGAGTCACAATTCTGCTCAGGGGGCCCCATGATACACTGAGCTCCCTAATGAGCCATCTGGGAGGGTTCAGAGGGAGCTGGACACCCCGAGAGTCACCAAGCTCTGAGAGTCCAGGATGATGCCAACCCTGGCCTGGACCTGTGAGAACCTGGAATGGGCAGTGGGAACACTGGTCTCAGTCCTGGAGACACACATTGACACTTTGCTGCCAAACGCCTTTATTATGCCCCTGCCTTGCCCTGGGGCTGTGTTCAGAGTAAGCCGCAGCACCTCCAGGCCCCGCCTTTCCCTGGAGCAGACTCCTTCTGGGGAGGTGGAAAGCCACTTCACACCTGGCATCCCTGAGTGCCATACTCCTGAAGGAAGTCACTGAGCTGGGCACAGGCTGCCCGCTGGCGGGTGCTCCGGCACAGGCGCTCCGAGGGCATCTCCTCAATCCAGCTATTTGAGTCCAGCAGGTATTGGGGGCTGCAGGGGACAAAGGGGGCAGTCAGCAGGGGTCAGGAGGATGGGCAGACGGGGGAGAAGAGCACAAAGCACCTAACTTCTTAGGGTGCCTAGATGCCAGGGACCTGCTCCCTAAGGAAGGTCACAAGACCTGAGGAGAGTAAGAGACCGAGGGGCCCAGGGGACTCACTCTCCCTTGAGGTCGTAGGTGGCCCCATCCAGACCCATGATCAAATATTCTTTCTCAGGCTCCAAGCGAAGGCGGCAAGAGGCTCGAACCAGGAAGTTTCGGGTCTGACCAACAGTGGCCTTGGCATCCTTGGCTGAGATGACGTGCACAAGAGATGTCAGAGGGGAAGAGGTCTCACTGAACCCTCACCACTCACCCACCAGAGGGATATACTGCTCTCCGGGTTATGGACAAGTCCCATGTTCTTAGAGGCAGAGGAATTTGAGCTCAGACTCATCCAAAGAGTGGGGCCAGGCTCTCTTGAGAGCTGTGAAGTCGGGCCCCAAGCCCAGACCTCAGTCCCCCTCCAGCCCCAGCCCCACCAGCCTCGCCCATGACGCCCTTCATACAGAAGTGCAGGATTTGGGTGATCTTGGTCTCAAAGAGGCGGAAAGCAGCTCTGCTGTCTTCTCGGAGAACCTTCACCTGGAAGCCTAGGAGGGGTTAGAAAGGAGGGAAGGTTAGTCTCCTGAGGCCAAGAGGGCTGGAAGCTGGGGGCAGAGCAAAGAGGCTACACGTGGGTCTGTGAGAGGAACAGGCATAACTGGCAGGACCAAAGAGCTGGTCCCTGAGGGCAGGCCAGGCCAGGGCCAGGTGGGTAGACTGACCGTACTCCACACGGGGGTAGTAACAGGCAAACTTCATCCTGTAACCATCCTCCTCCTGCAGCCCCCGCTCCAGGGCGCGGCGCTGGCGAGGGCACTTCCCTGAAGTCAGGGCCCCAGAAGAAACATCAGTACGCCCCGACCATTCCATGTCCCCCCACACCCCCGCCCCCAGGCCCAGGGTCTCACCCTCAGCACACTGGCAGACATCACCAGAGCACAATTTGGACAGGAGTTTGCTCTTACTTGGTGCTCCATAAAACACAGAACATTTGTGCTCTGGAGCAAAGCAGAGAGGGGGTTAGGACACAGTGCCTGTCCTCTGCCTCCCAGTCGCCCAGTCCCATAGAGGCCCAGGACTCCCTTGCCCCCTTCACTGCCCACATTCCTGGTGGCCCATATGGTGGCACTGCCCCAAACCTCCCCTGGATGCCAGGGTGTTGCACTACCCCACCTCCCAGGTACCCAGTGCTCACCGGGGTTATAGTAGTCATACAGGGCCGCACTGGCTGGCTGCACCAGTCCTACCGCTACCTCCTGCACGGCTCCAAAGCCCACGCATTCCCTCGAGGTGGGGACCTGGCCCAGGACGGGGAGGGGAGGTCAGGACCCACTCTCTGGGCCTGGCAGGCCTCTGAGCTGCATTTTCTTGGCCTGTTCCTGTTGGTCTTATCTCTAGTGTCCTTCACACTCAGTTACCATCCTGCCACCGGAACTGTAAAAACTGCTCCCAAGGTCTCTGATGACTTCATGCCTAGCTGGTGGCCTTCTCCCAGTCTTCAGTGTCCCGACCCACGGCAGAGTGGCCCATCATGGAACTTCCTCCATGAAACTCTCCCTCCTCTTAGCTTCTGGGCCATCTTTGGTTCTGACCTAATCGTTTCTCACATTCGCTTCTTCCCTCCCAGAGGCACAGCACCCGCCCCACTTCTTCCCTTCCTCTGCTGTCGCCTGTGGAGGGCTCGACCACTCTCTGGCTGTCCCCAAACCCTTCCAGGCTGAAGAGTCCCAAACTGAACTTCCAGCCCTATCCGATAGTTAGGATTTGGGCAAGACTGATAAATTCACCAAATCTACTCTGCCTGCCCCCTAAACCTGCTCACCCTCCTGACGGCCTTGTCTTGTCACTGATACTTTGAGATGGCTCGGCTTCCTCTATCTGCTGTAACCTCACATCAGGTGCTTCCACTCTACCTACTCTCCTGGACCCCTTTCCATACACCCACACAGGTCCTGTCTCGCCCTAGGGCAGCCCCATCATCAGCCCCCTGCCCAGAAATCTTTCTGACTCCTTATTTTCCATTGTGTTCAGCCCAGACTCCTCAGCTAGGCTTCTCGGGCTAATGGGGCCTGTCCTTCTGCACACACTGGGCTGGGGTCTTCCTTGGCCCACAAACATGTGGCTAATGCGTCACTACGCCTTTCTCACATATTCTCTCAGAGATTACAGTAAAGGTTCATAATAATTTTCAAGGGCCATTGAAGTATTGACAGGTCTTTGTTTAAGCCAAGTAATACAGTGAAAAGACAAAAAACGACTGTCATCTATGACCACCGTCGCTTCATAAAATATATTTTAATGTCAAAACCAAAAGGCAGCAAAAAATTGTTACCCTTCTTTTAAACCTTTCGATGCTGTTTGATGTGTATGTGTTAAGAATAAAAATTAATTTTAAAGAAAAAATGCAAAAAATTATAACAGCTGTTTAAAAAAAAACTAAGAAGGCTATAATCTCAGCAAAACCCAAAACCAAACCAAACCTATTGCCACTGCATTGATTCCAACTCATGGCAACCCCATGTGTTACAAAGTAGAACTGCTCCATAGGTTTTTCTTGACTGTAACCTTTACAGAAGCAGATTGCTAGGCCTTTCTTCTGTGGAGCCGCTAGGTGGGTTCGAACCGCCAACCTTGAGGTTAGTAGTCAAGAGCAAACCATTTGTACCACCCAGGGACTCCTAAAGCAGAATAAAATCAGCCTTGTGAAAGGCTCGCTCCACAGTGCTGACTTCCCCTTCCCTACTGACTGGCTGGCCTCCAGCATGCATCAGGGGCCCCAGTCTGCCTCCCTCAGGGCCCGCCTCCCTCAGGGTCTGCCTCCACCTCTGGCCTGGCTCTCGCTGTCCACTGCTGATTCATACTCTGTCCTGTCTGCCTGCTTACACCACAAGTCCTCAAAAGCACTGACTGCTGACACCTCAGTTTTCCGAGAAACCACATAACATCTACTCGGTAAACTCGGGCCATTGGTTCCCTCCTACGTCGCCTCTCCCCACTCACCGAGTCGAAGTAGAGCAGGACGTGGGGCCCCTCGGTCTCAAAGTGACTCACGTAACGGTCAGAGAGGGAGGTCAGCTGCAAGAAGGGGGAGATGGTGATAGGGAGGTGCACCTGGCAGGGTATAGCCTCTGGGGGTGCTGTGGGGGGTGGGGAAGGGCTGCTGAGGGCAGGGGGTCTGCTGGGTGGCTAGCCATACCTTCTCCAAGTCAGCCCGCAGGGCGTGGAAGCCACTCAGGAGGGTGATGTCTGCGATGGCCATGCCAAAGAGCCCCACCTTGCCATTCCGCCTGCAGAGAGACGTAACCTGCTGTCCAGATTCCACCTGCTGCTGGGGGTCAGACACCAGAGCCCACCTGGTCCTGCCCTCCCTCACCTGGCCCAGCAGCCACCCCCGCCAAACCCAATGCAGTCCAGCGCTCACCAGATACACACGGTGTACTGCACCCGGGACTCCTGCTCCCCTGCCACCTTGGGTGCCTCCCTCCTGCGGCGGTTCCTCCGTCCCTCAAACAGCTGCAGGGGTGTCACGGGCTGCAAATGGGCGCCTGGGTCGTCCCTGGATGGAAGCTCGTCATACTCATAGTCCTCGTAGTCCTTGTTTGCTTCCACTGCCCAGGGATGGAGGGGCTAGGTCAGCCACTTGGTCCCTGGCACCCACCCCCCGGGGACCCCAAGGTATCCTAACCCCAACACTCACTCATGTATTCAACGTGGCCCATGACTGTCACTTCAATCTGAAGATCCTGGCAGGTCGTGTTCTTCATGTCCAGGACATTGTAGGTACGAAGGATCTGGCTCAGCAAGGGGGTGGGAAGAGGACACATGACATTAGGGGCCACAGACCTCTCTCCAAGCCATAGCTAAGGGCATCTGCCTGGACTGAGAGATTTGAGGCCTCCAGCCTTTCTTGTACTGCTCACTGAACAGTCCATAAACATAACAAGTAGCAAATCTGGCACAAGCATTGCATAAGACAGAGGGGCAGAGAAATGAAAAGGCACAGGGTGCCCAGAGGAGGCTTGTAGGATGAGGATGAGCTCGTCCCGTGGGACGAGAAACAGTGGAAGGACGTTCAAGGTGGGGGGGGTCTGTGCAGATGAGTGGGTCTGGCTGGCTGGGGCCCAGTCGCACGAGCCTGCGGAGGAGTCTGACTTGGCTCCAAGGCTGATCTGACTCGTGTTTTCAGCTCAGTCTCGCTGAGGTGAGAACATGGATCAGAGTGGGTGAGACTGGGGGCGGGGAGACGTTACATGACCACCTTAGCACAGAGTCCAGGACACAGTGACAGGGCCATGGGCAGCAGGGGAGCAGAGAAGGAGTGACCGGGACAATAAGGAGGGGCTCAGAAGAGGGAGGCACTGAGGTGGCCTCCAGAGGGGCAGCTGGGCATCTGGTGGAAGGGGCTCCCGTCAGCCAGAGGAGGGGGCACGGGAGGAAGAAGGGGTTGGGGACATGCTGTGTCTGAGGCGCTGTGGGGCTTGTGGTTCTGGGAGGGGCCTGTGCTGAGGGTCTGGGTGTGAGAGCCATCAGCCCTGGAGGGTAATGGATACGACAATTGTCCAGAGATAGTGGAGACCAGAGTGAGGAGGGAAATGCCCAGGACAGGAAGCATGGGCAACATCAACCCTGAATGACTTCCTCCTTCCCCACCACTGAGCTCTGAGCACAGTTCTCCCTCAAGACCCTGTCTCGTCCCCGCCCTGCCCCTGCCCGGCCCGCTGCTTTCCTAGGCCCAGGTGCCTGCTCCTGTAGCTCTCACCTTCAAGGTTCCTTTGCTGTTTCCTCCCACCTTCACATTAATCTTGCTGTCCAAGAAAAACTTCCAGGAATAGAAAAGGGAAAGATGTCAGAGGGCCTAGGAAAACGTGTTCATTGCTCCAACTCTTCTTCTCCCTAAAAACACCCCACTTCCTCTCCCCACATCACATTTCACAGTATACACCTTCACTTGCACGACCTCATCTCAGCCTCTTAAAACTCTGCTGGGTAGACTCTGCAGATACTGTTTTGCAGCTGAGAGAAACAAAGCTTCGGGGCTAGGTAACTCTCCCAAGGTCACATGGCAGTCAGCCTCCCTGCAAGGATCTCAGGAAGAAGAGGGGCTGTGGGGAGCCCACAGGGTGGGAGGGTGGGGTGGCCCAGATGTAGTGGCAACCCAGGAGAGGGAGTGGGTCACCTGCAGCTCCTCCTCCAGGCCCTTGATTTGGCGGTTGTTCAGCTGGAGCACAAGGGACTTGAAGCCACTGCGGCCGGTGGAGCTGAGGGTCACATTGAGCGTCTTCTCCTCGGTGGTGTGGGAGGCGATCCAGTATTTAGAAAGGGCATCTAGGGCAATGACCGTGTCCTGGGGAGGAGGGATCAGGACTCAGTGCTTGGTCTCAGGATCACCTCCCAGGCCCTGGGGCAGCCCCTACCTGGGTGCTGCGGAATCCCCCCTGGAAGCTGCCCTGGTGTGTGAGCCAGGCTGCAGCCTGGTCGGCCATCTCGGCCTTGCCCTCCCGAAGCAGCAGGTGCAGCAGGCCATAGGCCGTGGTTTCAATCCACAGGGCTGGGGCCCGGGGCACAGGGTCTGACGGGTTGCGAGGAGCCAGGGTGGGTGACACGACGTTGTTCTGAGACCCGACAACTGTGCCCCAGTACAGGTTATCTGCAGTGAAAGGAGACCACATGCAGTTAGGGGACAGCCACGGAGCACCCTAGTTGCCCGCCAGCTCGCCTGGTTTTACCCCAACCATCCCTGCCTATGCTTCGAATTCCTTCTCAGGCTCTTCATTCCATCTCTCCTTCGGGGACACTCAAGGGTCCCAAGGTCCCCTAAGCCCCAGGCTCACTGCCAGGACCCCTTGTCGCTCACCGCCAGCCTCCTGGGCCATGGCCATGAGGTTGTTGTGGGCCACATTCTGTAGATCTTCGGGGGCCTGGGACAGCGTCAGGGCGTAGGCCGTGATGGCTGCCGCGTGGGCCTCCAGGAGCCCAGCACTCACTTGCTTCCCCAAGAATGAGTTTGCATGTGAGATGGAGGTTTCCTAGCAGAAGAAAGTGAGGAAGGAGGTCTGGGGGCTGGACAGCTGGGTTCCTGAGGAAAAAGGGGTGTGGCGGAGGACTGGGGGCCAGCAAGGGGGCAGGCACCGGTGTCTTTACCGCTCTTTTCTTCAACCCCTCGGCACTCTTGTCCTGGAAGGCGACCAGCCCATGATGAAGGGCGATGACCACAAAGGCTGTGAGCGCTGTAGTCTCATCAACCCCCACCAAGCCTCCCTGGAGGAGGGAGGAAAGAAGATGTCAACCAGGAGAGGGAGGGCTGAGAGGGTGTCCCCACCAGATCTCCTCAGCCATGCCTTCCCACCCGCACCTGCATGCCCCTGTGGATCACGGGACAGGGGTCCCGGAAGGAACCGTCAGCCTGCTGCTGGGACAGCAGCCACGAGGCTGTCTCCTGCAGCTTGTCAGGTGAGCCGCCCACCTGCTCCTGGGCCAAACTCAGTACCTTCAGCACAAAGGCTGTGAGCCTAGAGGGGAGGAAGGGATGGTGGGGATAGGGACTGGTCCCTGGAGGGGGCACGTCCCTACTCCCCCAGGCACCTATAGTTGTTCTCCCATCCCACTGGACCTGGCTTTACTCCAACAGCCTGCACCCCTCTCAGAACCACACTTCCAGCCTCACCAGGTACTGCTGTCCCGGTGTAACCAAGCCCCGTAGGAACCATCTGATTTCCGGAACTGCTGGATCCGCAGGTAGCCTGCAGAGGAGAGGCAGCTGCTGAGGTGAGACCCACTCTCCCATGACTTCGGGCCCCAAAACATGCTCCCCATTCCCATCAGGTGCCCCCTTCTTCCCCTCTCCATTCTCCTGGGCCTCCCATCTTCCATCAATTGCCCTCTAGCCCCAGCTTCTGCCTGCTCCCGACCCACAACCTTTCTGGATCAGATCCACAGCGTAGTCCTTGGTCTCTGGGGGCAGGGTGCTCCACTGTTCCGTCTTGTCCAGGTAGTGGGAAGCAGCCAGTGTGGGAGCCAGGTAGACCATGGTTTGCTCTGCGCAGCCCTGGGGCAGCCTCAATAGGGAGGCCAGGCCGCCTGGGGACAAGGCCCCCCCAGAGCCCAAACTGTCCAGCGGATCTGAGGCTAGAGGGAAAAAAGGGTAAAGATCAGAGAGTAGGTCTGGGGACCCAGGGCCGGAGGGCTGCAGGAGCTAACGGAGGTCCACAGGTCTCACATGAATCTGAGGGCAACCCTGGGAAGGGGCGGAGGACATTCCTACCTGTGACCCTGACAAAGCTGCCGAAATCTCCGTCGGGGATAATATTGGGATCAGAGTTTCCAGGAATTTCCAAGGTGCGGCCTCGGTGGTCTGGGGAAATGTGGAGTTGGCAGCCTGCCATGCTGTCCATATCCCCTGCAACCCCAACTCCTTAGGAAACTGCTGGCAGTGAGGGGTGGCTGGGGGTGGGGGTCACTCACCCAGGGGGTTGAGCTCATAGACAATCTCTTCCCTGAAGATGGCCCCTTCCCTCTGTGTCGGGAGAAACATGGCCATGAGAGATTACGCAGGACTCAGAGCCTGCCCCCTCCAAGTACAGACTCTCCAGGGCTTTGAGTTTGAACTTCAGGGACCGAGCTGGGTCAAACATTGGGTTTGGGTGTTGGGCCCCTGGCCTGGTCAGCACTGAGGGTGCTGGGGGTGGGGGCAGCTGGTAAATCTGGGAGTCTGGGGACCTGAAGTCAGGGGTGCTCTATTCACCTCAATTTGAAGAACCTTAGACACTACATCCCCCACAGGGAAATCGAAGGACCCTCGAGCCACCACCTTCAGGGACACAGCAGCGTCTGCCGTGGGCACCAAGGAGAAGGCCACAGGCCGGGCAGAGCCAGCAGGCACCAGCACCTGCTGGGCCAGCCCTCCGCCCCCAGCCAGGCACAGCCCCTCCACTGGGGCCACGTGGACGCTCACCTAAGGGCAGGAAGAAGGGAGGAGGTTGGCCAGAGCCCCAGCCAGGGTAGACTCCCCACCCCTCACCTGCCCCCAGGCTCCCATCCCGACAGCCCCCTGTGCTTGGGCACCAGCAGGCCCTCACAGTCAGGTTTGTATCCAGGTAGTTGTACAGCACGGGCCGCAGCTCGAGCTGCTCAAAGCGGCGTATGGAGGTGGGCAGGCGGAGATGCAGGTGGAAGTTGCGGAACACTCGCAGTCGTGCTGGCGTAGCCACACACAGGCCTGACGGGAGGACATATAGGAGCTCAGAGGTGTAAGGGCATCACAGCCAGAGTCCCAGCAGGGAGGGGCAGGGAGTGGTCCAGTGCTCTGCTCTCCGCCACTGGTGGCCACTGCTCGCTAGCCTCCCAGCCCAGGTGGATGCTGAGTAGAGACTTCGCCAGCTCTCTGGGCCCCCTCCCTATACTAAGAGCAAAGGGCTAAACAGGGAGCCTGGGTCGAGAAGAGATGGGAAGGGGTGACCTCACCTTTGCTCTGGGACAGGCTCACGCCATGGATCTCCCACGTGGTCAGCGAGTCGGGGAGCGACAGTTTCAATCTGTGACAGGAAAGGTGGAGAAGCCCATCACACTCAGGGCTGGCTTCACGCACAGCCTAGAGGTGAGCAGGCCCCCCATGCCCTCACGTCTTGGAGTGGTCTACTGTCTCCAATTTCCAGAGCCAGTTCTGGGGGAAGTAGCTGCGCACAGGGATGTCATCTTCCTCTATCAGTTCCTCCTCCTGCAGCATCTGCATGGCTGGGGGACCGGGGGAGGAGAGTGAGGAGAGGGCCGCCTGCCCTCCCAGGCACCCCGCCTGTCCCCCAGCCCACCCAGCCCCTCACCTCGGGCAAGGCCCACCCGGCCCGTGGCATGGGCCTTCTTGCGTAGGTTCTCAGCAAACTGGCAGCAGGACAGGAAAGGCTCCCGGCAGGCCGGCTGTGGCACACGGGCCGCCCGCTGCTCACAGGAGCGTACCATGGGCAGCCGGGTCAGCCCGTCCTGGCAGCAGCGCTTGGCTGTTGGGGAAGTATACTGGCCCACTGCAGGGCCGGGCTGAGGGTCAACATAGGGGACAAGAAGGAGACACAGCTCATACCCTGTCCAACCCTGGATCCACAGGGACTCACCCCTGAGAGGGCAGGAATTGAAGAGAGACCAGGGAGGGAGCCACCCACTCATCTACCCTCATCCCCAGAGCTTGGCTCTCTGGCCCCAAATACGACACAAGGGCTGCATGAAGAGCCAAGCAGCCAAGAGGCAGAGCCTACGCTGGCCCCTGGCTGTAAGTGAAGAGCTTAAGTTGCCTCTCAGGCACCCACCACTCACACTTCTCACTAACGGCCTTTTGGAAGTTCACGTTTCTCTTCTTCCGAGTTTTCTCCTGGGGGCAGCTCAGACCTAGTAGAGAGCAGGGCTGCAGCCAAGCCATAGGGTGTGTGGCCTCCCCCCTCTCCTCCCTGTTCTCCTGCCCCTGCCCAGCCCTTCCCACCCCTGCCCTTCCTGTGTTATTCCCCAAGGCCCAGCCTCCTTCCTTATCCCCCACCCATCCCCTTCCTCCTCTGCTCTCACTCTTTCTGGGTGAGGTCAAGTGTTCTCCATCAGAAAAAGCCAGACCCGCGGCCTGAAACACCTGAAGGGCGGTGTCCCCGCCACCAGGGCCACAGCCCAGGTCATAGCTGTTCATAACTTCGAAGACCTGGCAAGAAAAGGCAGGAATGTTGTGGAGACAGGAGTGGCCAAGGGGCAGGATTGGGTGGTCGGTGAGAGACGAGGATATGAACAAACATGAGAGGGATGTGGAGAGTGGGAAACGGGCCAAAGGGCCAAGAGCTGTGAAGAGGCCCAAAGCTTGTGGGAGAACTGTGAGGAGTCTGTGGGGAGCTGGCGAGATCTGGGGACTGGGCTCAGACTCAGAGCGCAGGGCAATGAGAGAAACGAGGCACCAAGGGGAGGAGACTGGGGAGAGGTCTTGACACACCTTGCCCATGTTGAGGGGTTTGTGGGACCTGCTGCCCACAGCATACAGGGCCATGTCCACAGCTCCTAGCGCCACCAGGGCCGGGGAGTCTGTTTGCAGGTGGAACTTGACAGTGTCCCCAGGACGATACTCCTTGGCACCATCCACGTTCAGCTCCAGCTGGCAGAGGTCGGGGGTGGGGGCCGTCAGAGTGGGAAGAGCTGCTTTTGGTCCCTTGCATCCTCAGTGCACCCCAAACGAAATCCATGCCCCATGTGCAATCACACTGTAGCCCTGTTAGGGACTGAATTGTGTCTCCCCCAAAATATGTGCCAGAATCCTGACCCCTATAACAGTGGATGTAATCCCACTTGGGAATAGGGTTTTCTTTGTTATGTTAATGAGGTCATCAGCGTAGGGTGTGTCCTAAACCTAATAATTTCTGAGTTATAAGGAGCAGCATAGACACAGAGACAAGCAAGCACAGAAGGGGGAAAGATAGACGCCACCTGGAGATCACCAAGGAATCGAGGAATGCAGGGGCTAGAGTAGCTGTAACAAGGACTTCCTCCAGACTCGATAGAGAAAGCGCCTTCCCCTAGAGTTGGTGCCCTGAATTCAGATTTGTAGCCCCCTCAAATGTGAGAAAATTAATTTCTGCTTTCTAAAGCCACCATCTGTGGTATTTCTATTACAGCAGCACTAGGAATCTAAGATATCCCCCTGACACACACACACACACCCCAACTCTCCTGTTACCTTGCCCTCGCAGGCCTCGGCCTGGACATCCACTCGCAGGGAGTTGGCAATAGGGAGGCTCCCATGGTAGTAGAAGGCCACGAAGTGGAAGGAGGGTGCCAGGCGTTGGTCCACAAACACGGAGACTGAGGTCACGGCCCTTCTGGGCTCTTGGTGCATGGACACGATCTCACCCCGGGACAGGATCTGGGCCAAGAACGGTCTCTCTCCATTGCACATCCCCAGCCCTGTAACCACCGCCCCCCCTCAGAGGGCTCTTTCCTGCCAGAGACCCTCCCTGCAGGCCAGCCCTCCTCTCTCCTCTCCATGCACACCATGTAGTAGTAATGAGAGAAGGTGGCCCCACTGACGCCCACGGCTCTCAGGTTCAGGTTGAGAGTGTCCCCAACTCGAGGGGGCCGAAGATGCAGCCGCTCAATAGACAGAAATGCAGAGCCTTGTGAGGGTGGGGCTGTCACTGTGAGCCTGGCCACATCAGGATGAGGGGAGCCTGCGGACACCTGGAAAAAGGGTGCATGGTTAGTGGCAAGGACCCAGTACCTAGCTCTCCCCTCTCTCTGGGACATGGATCCCCAGGAACCCAGATCATCCTCCTTTTCTCCCCCATCCTCTCCCACGGGGAGGAAGAGCTGGATGGGGGAATCTCACGGAGAGCCGCAGTTCTTGGGTGGTCTGAGGGATATTGATGGGAACGCTGACTTGGCCACTCCCATCTGTATTCTGCTGAAAGTCCTGGGTTTTAGAAGCAGGCCCAGGAGAAGACAACTCAGCAGAAACTTTGACAGGAACATCAGCAGCTGGAGAGCCCAACATGTCACGGACCCGAGCCTACATGGGTGGCGAGGAGCAAGTCAAACAGAGGTCACTGAGAAGGGAAGCAACAGAGAGCAAGGGGACCACCTTCTTTCTTCCCAGTGCTCTGCCCTCTGACTAACATCCCCCTGCCCCACATCCATACTCTCATCCTTCCCCTCTAGCAGAAACCTGCAGCAGAAAGGGGGCCCCAGGCACAAGATGGCGCTTGGTGTTGCTAAGATCCAAGAAGAAGGGAGATGACACAAAACGCCAGGATGTGAGCTCGGCCTCCTCCAGCTCCCCACCTGCAAGACATGAGCACAGAGAGGTAGAGGACAGACTCCAGGGAAAAGAGGAACAGGAGCATGAGGAGACGGTGACCCCCTCAGGGGCACAGGCCAGCTCTATTCATCTTTATGTTTTCCAAGGCCCAACACAGACCCTTAGGAGCCCTGGTCATGCAATGGTTAAGCGCTTGGCTGCTAACCGAAAGGTTGGCGATTCGAATCCACCACCCAGCTGCTCCATGGGAGAAAGACCTGGCAATTTGCTCCCATAAAGATTACAGGTTAGGAAACCCTATGGGGCAGTTCTACTCCGTCACATGAGGTTGCTATGAATCGGAATCAACTGGACAGCACCTAAGAACAATAACAACAACAGGTCCTAACACACAGACAGCACCTCACATATGTCTGTTGAATTAATTAATTTAAAAATGAATGAATGAATGTGCAAAAAAATAAACACTGAGATGGGGGAAGAGGCAGGATTACCCAGAGACAGAGTTGGAGTGAGACAAGGTCTCCTGAGGCTTTCCTGGCCTTGGGTCCAAGCAAAAAGTGGAAGAAATGTGTGTTTGTGTGTTTGTGTTTGGGGGTGGGGAGGGGACAGGCGTTGACACCGGAGAATGCAAGGTCAGCTTAGAGGTCAAAGGCATGTCTGGGGTTATGATAAGGGGAAGCCACTAACCTGGAGACTCAATGACGGCTGCTGCAACGTAGAGACGCAGCCCCAGAAGGTCAGTAACACGCATATTAAGCTTCGCCAGGGCCCCCTGGACCTCGGCCTCTGTGAGGGTAATGTGGCTCTGGCCATCCACCAGCTGGGGCAGAGAGGAAACAGGATGTGGGGTGAGACCTGAGTCTCCAGCCTCACCCCCTTTTCCTCCCTAGTCCCTTACGTCCCACATCCCCCTTCCTACCTTGGTCTGACTCTCCAGCCCCCGAAGGAACGTCTTCCCACCATCCTCACCCAGGAGCGCAAAGCGCACATATGCCACCCCCTGCACTGGCTTCCCGTAGATGTACCTGTAGCCATGGGGAGATTGGGAAGGGGGTGGGCCAAGGGCTGGAGGACATAATCAAATGGTCTGGGAGGGAAGGAGAAGCAGGCCGGAGGGAGGCAGGGCTCCCTGGCATGTTCACACTGAGTGGGGAGCCCTGGGCAGGGCCTGCGTCGGGTGCAGGGCAGTTACCTGGCCTGGATGTCTAGCTGGATTTCATCAAGAAAGTCAGGCACTGTCAGGATGTAGGGCTTTTCAGGGATGATCTTCACCTCAAAGTTGGGAAGAACTAGCACAGGGTAAAGGGGGAGGCAGGTCAGACTCTCGTGAAAGGACCCTTCAGAAACCTCCCTTCCCTCCAGGATGTGGCACCCATGACTCCCTGGCTCTGCCTGGCCCCCACCCCCTCTCCTTCAACCCCTATGTCCCTCATGTCTCCAGCTCTCACCGTATTTCTTCACCTCAAACTGGGTGCTGCTGTTGGATTCCGGGGCGCCTGAGAATCGGGCTGAGACCTTCCAAGTCCCTGGCCTGAGGACAGACACAGAGGGGACTCAGCCCGCCTGGGCCAAAGGGCCAAGGAGAGCCAATGGCCAGGTGACCTGGAAAGAGGACTGTGGGGTAAACCAGAGGCTTGGGGAGCTTGGGATTGTCCTGTGTGTGTGCTGGAGGAAACAGGAGCCTGGAGCAGGAATTGGGTGGTGTAGCTGAGGGCAGCCCCAGGTCGGGGAGCGCTCACTCTGAGATGTCTGGGATCACAAAGTTGTCCTGGAAGATGGATGTGGCAGAGAATACCTCCTTCTTCTGTACGAGGAGGCCCTGAGAGTTCTGGAGGAGGAGGAGAAGTGGTCAGGAAAGGGTGGAGGGGTGTGGGGTCAGATCAGTGGCCAGAATCAGGTCAGAGGTCGGCGACTCACCTCCACAGTGACCGTGAGGGGGTCCGTGGACGGGCGCATCTTTTGATCCAGTGCAAAGATCCGGTACCAGACTAGGGAGTAGGGGGAGAGAGGTGAGGAAGAGCCCAGGTGCAAAGGGAGGGTGGTTCCCGATTCCCCGCTTCCAGGAGTGAGAGGGAAGGGAACACACATTTGCTAAACACCCTCCTGTGTGGCAGGCACTTTCTTTGGGGTTGTCTCACTTAAGGGGCACCACATGTGTCCTGAGCAGGCTGGGAGGGAGTTAAAGGTAAGGCCCCGAGGTCACAACTCACCCGGCTGGCCAGGGTTATAAATGGGCTGGTCAGTCTGCAGAAAGAGGTGTCCCCGGCGAGAGGTGAAGAGCAGGTTGACACCCTGAGTGTCGACCTTTCTGGACAGAGAGTCCTTCAGCCATGATGACTTGGCCACTAGCTGTACCTCAGGGCCTCTGCGGAGGTCATGGAGGCCACAGATCTTGGTATCTTTCAGGGGGATCTGTCAGGACAGGGAGGGGGAGCCATCAGAGACGGTGAGAGCTGGACAGGATGGGGACTGAGGCAGAGACCTGGAAGACCAGCTGGGGTGGGAGGAGAGGAGGGTAGGTGAGCCAGTGAGGAGAAACAAAGATGGTTACAAGAAGACAGAGAGAAGCAGGGTGGGAAGTCCCAAGAAGCAGCAGTGTGGTCCAGTTACCTGGAGGCTGAGGAGTACGAAGACTTTTTCTGAGCTGAGTGTGAAGCCCACCTCTGGGGAGCAGCGGAGATTGATTTTAGGGTTGCTTGGGTTTCTCAGGTACACTGATCCTGTCACTACTTGGCCCAGGGGGACATCCTGGAGCTGCACCCCCACTGATAGGGGAACCTCAAGGTGAACCACAGAAGGAGAAAATAGGAGCAATCTGGGGAGAACAGAGGCGGGTCAGCAGCTGGACTTCATGCTGGCCCTCCACCCTGCTCTCCCCCACTCCTGAACCCCATCCCTCAGCCCGTAGCCAGCCCTGCCCCCACTCAAGGACCCAACATCCTGCCTCCAGGACCTGGGTTTCTGCAGAGACAAGGCAAAGAAGCTGGAGGCCCAGATCAGCCCCCAGAAGAACCTCATGGCTGGAGGATCCACAAGGGGTCAGATCCGTCTGTCCGTCTGCTCCCTTCTGGTCAATCTAGGGCTTGGGGCAGAGTTGACTCTGAACCTTGCTCCTCCCCTGGCCCAGCTAAGCTGGGAAACCACCCCTGGCCCAGCTAAGCTGGGAAACCACGTGACAGCCAAGAAATGCAACTGGCCCTAGGCCCAGTGTTGGGGGGGCAGCCTGGACACCTGGGTCTCTGAGGGAATCTTGGCCCAGAGATAGAGCCTGTCCTTCCCCATTAACCCTTCTCATCCCACCCCCTACTGGGTACCTCCCCGCTACTATCTGTGTATGTGTACACATGTACATATGCTCATGTACACATGGCTCAGATGTGCAGGAGATGGAAACGGTCTAACAAAACAAGGATGGGCTTGTAAGACACTTGGGTCTCGGTTTCACCACCACAAAAACTGAACTACACTAGGCCTTTGCTTGTTGTAGGTCCTAACAGAAATTCTGTGGTTTAGGAGACCGGGCACACCCTCACTACACCCCAGGGAGAACCAACCTGAACGTCAATGTTAACCCTTCTCCTCTTTGAACAATGAGGCAAAGCTCAGGCCTAAACTTGGCTTTACCTCTACCCCCACAAAAGGCCCCCAAACACACATATTACACTAAATAAAGGACAACCAGAAAACCTCATAGGCAGAAATACTTTATTTGGCAGTTTCAACACCAACATGAGGGGAGAGAATCCTGCCCTCCTTCACCAGCCACCCCAGAAATCCCACCTTCCTAACTCAAGAAAGAGTAGTAACATTAGCACTTCACTTCCACAGAAGGGCAGAGAGGCACTGTCCAAACCCCATCTCTGGGTCAGAGCCCATGTAAACAGCAGCAGTCACGTCTGACCCTTTGCACAGACGTAAGCCTAACACCCATCTGGCTTCCGAGCCTTCCCTACATGACCCTGTCTCAGCCACCATAGGCTGCCCTCCTGGGTCCCTCTTCCCCACTCTGAGGAGATGTGCAATGACGAGCAGAATCCTCAGGTCTCTGGCAGGCGGAGGAGGGTTCCAGAAGTGGTAGAGATACTGTGCAAAAGAAAGACAAGGCTGGAGTCCAATGTCTAGGCCCAAGATTAGGGAAGAACTCAGAACCTGGCAGGGAATGTTCCTGGGCTTCAGGGAAGAATGAGAGAGGAGCTGGGCTTGTCCAGTGGCTTAAACATGAGCAGGGATAAAATCCAACTTTGGGTCAGTGTTGTGTGTCATCTGGCCAGGGGCTGGAAGGCAAGACTCACCAGTCCACCAACTGGGCCCCAATGAGATCGTGCACATGATAGGAGAGGCCAAGCCGCACGGCGGCAGGCGCCCGCCGGCCCAGGAGCTCTGACAGGAGTAGCTCCCGGTACTTGGCCTTCCGGACCATGCCAAGGACAGCCTGGCGCCCTGGAGGAGGTGGCACAGGAGAGGGAAAAGGTGAATACAGCCTAGAGGCTTAAGGAGCTGCCGAAAATGTGTTTCTGAGGGGCTGAGGGCTTGAGGTGCACCCTAGGGCTACCTTTAACAAAATACTTGATGAATTTCCCAGCTCCAGGCACAGCTAGCCACCAGCTCCCAGCATCGCGGACAGTGAGGACTCCAGCATTCACCAGCTGCCTGGGGGTAGTAAGAAGCCAAGATAGATAAGGCTTTGGCTCTGAGAACAACCTCTCCTCCCCACTTCATCCCTGCTCATTAATACTGGATACTAAGTTCTAGAAACAAGGACAACCAAGCAAGAGGGCATGAAAAACAAAACCCCGACCTGGGGCAGCTCTCTGTGCCCTTGCTTGTTCCACTCCCTCTGCTGGGACTTCTCTCCCTCCACCCTTTCTTCTCCTGTCACTATTACTCATTCATTAAACAGCTCCTCCTCTTGGAAGCCCTCCCTGACTACTACCCTGACACACACCCACTCCCACTCCCAGGGAAGGCTTTCTTCCTCAGGGTCTTTCTCCTGCGTTCCCGCCACTGCCATGCACAACTCACCATGGCTCCCACCACATCACACTGAAAGCAAACAATCATAAGTCGGTTTCCCACAAGACATAAGTACTTTACAGTTTATAAAACGCTTTCACATATGCCATGGGTTACAAAGCAGGAAGCAGAAGCCAGATATAGCCTCCCAAAATTATATTTCTGTTTATCCCTTGCCTGGTTTCCATTCTTTATCCTCAGTCCCAGCATGACTCATGGCAGGCAGCTATGGTTCCTGCCAGGCCCCTGGATGCATTGGATTAGCCACCCAGATCTCCTGAATTCTAGTCCAGGGCTTTTTCCAAGGCTCCAGATAAGACAGGCCTCCTCTCTTGGGTAGAGGAGTATAAATATAGGTCACTTTACTAAAAAGCACCATTGGCAGGTTCACTAGAAGGAAAAGGACAAGGTTGGATGGGACCAGGAGGAGGAAGGAAAAGGCCAGATGCTTGAGTCTGTTGGTCTCCCCAAGTCTCACGTGATCTCTGGGTCCTTGAAGCCAAAGGTCTTTGTCATCTGGTCCTGCTGGAAGCTAAGGTCCCCACAGGCTGGAAGCACCGAAGCCAGAAACTTCTGCACGGCTCCAGCAAATGGTCGGCCATCACAGGCCTTAAGGACCTGGAACCACAGACAAGATACACGGTCTGGCCCCATCTCAGCCTCTACCAACCTCCATCCCCAGGACAACGTTGCACTTCCTACACTTTCCCCTCTTGCTCATGTCCTTCCATCTCTCACACCTTTCTCCTCCTCCTCTCTCCCCCTTCTCATATTGTTACTTACCAGAGCCCTGTGCCCCCTCCGTGGGGTGGGGGAATTGTCTCTTTATATTTGTTCCCTAATTTCCTCGTCCCCCGCCCCTAGATATGTGTACACAGTCACACGCACTTTGGTCCTGTAGTCCTCGGTGAAGATAATCCCATGGGCATCCAAGTCGAAGCCCAGCTGGACGACTCTGATCTCCCCCTGCTCTTGAAGCTCCTTCTATCTCCAGAGAGATGGGAGTAAAAAGAAAGAAGGGCATCAGAGGAAGATGCTTTGCTAAACTTCTGGGCACTTTTGGGCATTGAGATTCTGTTTGCCTGTATTTAGGAGTTTTTCTCTTAGCAAAAGAAAAACTGTGTGGGCAAAATAACCAGAGTGATTGCTAAGGGGCCTTTTCTAACTGGTTACCCACCTTCTCATCTACCCTCTTCATCAGATACCTGTCAAACAATCAATACATATTTTCTAAGACCAATCGTATGCTAGGCACTAAGATAAAACAGTGATTAAGACATGGGTCTTGCCCTCAAGGGACTAACAGTCTAGATGTTGGTTGGGGGACGATGCGATGGAGTATGGAATAAAATGTTTAAAACATTACTAGCAGCCATCACAGATACAACTATTGGTATCTACTTGTCTGGAGTAAAAGAAAAAGAAGGAAACCAAAGACTCAAAGAAGAAACTAGTATACACGACTAACAGCCTACACGAACCATGGCTTCATCTATCCTGAGACCAGAAGAACTACATGGTGCCCAGCTACCACTACTGACCCTTCTGACCAGGGACACAATAGATGGTCCCAGATAGAATGAGAGAAATATGTAGAACAAAAAAATTCTCAAAGAAGGCCAGTAGAGACTAGAGTAACCCCTGAGACTATCACCCTAAGACACCCTTTAAACTTTATACTAAAATCACACTTGGAGGTCACCTTTCAGCTAATAGACTAGCTCATAAAATGAACAATATCACCCGTGAGTACTGTGCTCCTTTAAAAAATCATCTATATGAGACCAAACGGTCAACATTTACCCTAAAGCAAACATGAAAAGGTAAGGGGAGGGCAGGGAAGCTAGATTAATGGAAATAATGAGAATGTTGACACACTGTGAAAAATGTAACCAATGTCACTGAAAGATATGTACAGAAATTGTTAAATGGGAAGGTAATTTGCTGTGTAAGTTTTCACCAGAAACAAAAAATATTATCATAAAAAATGTTGAAAACAAATAAAAGTAAACCAGGACCACCTCTGTTTCCGGGAATATGGCAAGAACAAACCCAACCACTGAAAATGAATAAAAATGGCCGATGAAATATTTTTTTAAAAATTTAAACATTAAAGAGCCCACAAGATACAAGATAATAAGGAGTTATCGGACTAATACATACCTAAGTGAAAATAAGAACTCATAAGCACAGAGAGCATTTGTCGATCTAGGCAAATTTTTCCAGCACACAGTCAAAAATAACTGGGCACACAAGGAAACAAAACTCATAAGCAAGCACCAGAAGAAATGGACAACAGAAACAGACCCAAAAAGACATCTAATATTGGAATTATCAAAAACAGACTATTAAAAAAAAAAAACTATGCTTACAATGCTCAAATAAATAAAAACTAAGATGGAAAATTTCAACAGGAAACTGGAAGTTTTGTAAAATATCCAAGTAGGTCTAGATTCTAAAATTCTAGGACTGAAAAATAAACTAAATGAAATTAAGAACTCAATGGATGGGTTTAATGGTTAGGCACAGCTAAATAAAAAGCTATTAATCTGTAAGACAGATGAAAAAATTAATCAGAATACAACAATAAAAAGAGTCAAAAAGACCGAAAACACAGAAAAGAGGCTAAGACGCTTAAAAAAACAAACCCACTGCCATCGAGTCGATTCTGATTCCGACTCACAGACACCCTATAGGACGGAGTAGAACTGCCCCATAGAGTTTCTAAAGAGCACCTGATGGATTCCAACTGTCAACCTCTTGGTTAGCAGCCATAGCTCTTAACCACTACACCACCAGGGTTTCCAAAACTCTTATAGAGTACAAAAACAAGGTCCAATATGTGTTTAATGGAAAGAAAGAGGGAGGGAGGGAGGAAGGGAAAAAGGGAGGAAGGAAGGAAAGAAAAGAGAGAATAAGGTAGGAGAAATATTTGAAGAGACAATAACAACTCTATAATCACAGTGGGTATAATAATCCAACTCTCGTAAATTCAGAGAAAAAACTGATAAAGTGAGCATACAGAAGATTTTAATAATAACTTCAGTGACTAACAAATTAATGACTGAATAATACACATTCTTTCTAAACATAGATTATTAAAATTGAGAAGCCACTGATGAGGCTAACCAAGAAAAAGGAAAAAAAAAAAAACTAGAAAAAACACAAATAACCAATACAAGGAATGATAAAAGGGTTATCACTACAGATCCTGCAGATAATAAAATGAGAATATCACAAACTTTACGCCAATAAATTTGAAAGGTTAGAAGAAACTGACAAATTCCTAGAAAAATATGATTTCACTAGACTGGACAAATTGGGGTATATCCACAAAAAGGAAATCTATGACAATGAATTAACTATAGCTATAGGCAATGTCATAGATTGAATTGTGTCCCCCAAAAATATCTGTCAACTTGGCTGGATCGTGATTCCCAGTACTGTATGATCGTGTACCATTTTGTAATCTGATGTGATTTCGTTATGTGTTGTAAACTCCACCACTATGATGTAATAAGATGGATTAGCGGCAGTTATATTCGTGAGGTCTACAAAATTAAGTAGTGACTTAAGTCAATCTCTTTTGAGATATGAGAGAGAAGTGAACAGAGAGACACGGAAACCTCATATCACCACGAAAGCAGTGCCGGGAGCAAAGCATATCCTTTGGACCTGAGGTTTCTGTACTGAGATGCTCCCAGACCAAGGGAAGACTGATGCATCACAGGGACCTTCCTCCAGAGCCGACAGAGAAAGCCTTCTCCTGGAGCTGATCCCCTGAATTTGGACTTGTAGCCTACTGGACTATGAGAGAATAAACTTCTCTTTGTTAAAGCCATCCACTTGTGGTATTTCTGTCATAGCAGCACTAGATGACTAAAACAGGCAACTAGAAGGATCTCAAAAATATAATCCACCTAATGAAATAAGATATAAATAAATACATACAGTATGATTCCATCTATATCAAGTTCAAAATGGGTAAAACTCAGCTTTGTCATTTATGGACATACATATAGATAGTATTAAAAAAAACTAAGACAACAACAATCATACCAGTTGGGCCAATAGTTACCTCCCAGGGACATAAGGCATTCTGATTAGAGAGGGATATATGTGGGATGGTGGTCATGTTCTAGAAGAGCCTGGTGGTACGGTGGTTAAGTGCTCTGCTGCTAACCGAAAGGTCTACCATTTGAACCCACCAGCTGCTCAGCAGGAGAAAGATGTAGCAGTCTGCTTCTACAAAGATTTACAACCTTCAACTCAACGGCAATGGGTTTGGTTTGGTTTTTGGCCATGCTGTTATTCTGATCTGGGTGGTGATAAACGGGTATTTGTTTTATAAATGCTCTTTAAATTGTGTGTGTGTGTGTGTGTGTGCGTGTTTATGTTTTACTTTGTGCAATTTTTAAAGCTCGCTTAAAATACAGGATAATACCAGATTAAAAACAACAAATACTCTATAAGGAGTGGTTCCATCACTTCCTCATGTAAGACTGGAGCTACTCTCTACCTTCCTTTTCTTTTCTTTTCTTGACAAGTCAACACTAACCTTCTACCTGCTAAATCCAATGGATAGATTTCATTTTTCATTTTACTTGACGTCTTCACAGACCACTGTCTTGAGTCACAAGTTCTAACACTGCCAACTACTCCTATCTTCTTGAAAAATCACATTACTTTCACAATAGGCCCCTCTCTAGATTCCTCCTGACTCTGACAATTCCTTCTCAGCCTCCTCCACAGACTTCTCTTCCTCTGCTTTCCCCTTTCATCAGTGGGACATGAATTTTAAGGTACATTAAGAATCATTTGGGGCAATAATTTAAAGATATGTACTACCTGATCCCACCCCAAGAAATTTTAATTCATTAGTCTTGAGTGAGTCCCAGGAACCTGTATTTTTTAACAGGCAGCCCAGGTAATTCTGATACAGATAGAACTCAGGCCATACTTTGAGAAATACTGCTTTAAACGCTGGTGTCTCCCAGAATTCTGGATTTGGTCCTATTATCTTCCACTCTAAAGCTGGGGTCTTTAACACTGGGCCTCAGAGGATCTGTGAAACACTGCCTGAAAACTCTACATGTGCTTTGTATGTATGTGGCATATGTGCATTTTTCTGGAAAGAGCCATAGCTTTCACCATCTTCCAAAGTTTGTAAAAAGGCTAGAAATCACTCCTCCACTCACTCTTCCTACCAGATCTCAGCCACATCCCAGTGACTTCCTATTCGATATCACTGGCTCAGTTCTCTCCAAATTTTCAAATCCAACTGTCTACTACACTGTCTTAGTTACCTACTGCTGCTGTAACAGAAATACCACAAGCAAGTAGCTTTAACAAACAGAAACTTATTCTCCCCCCGTCCAGGAGGCTAGAAGTCTAAATTCAGGGCACCAGCTCTAGGCAAAGGCTTTCTCTTTCTCTCTCAGTTGGCTCTGGGGGAAGGCCCTTGTTATCAATCTTTCCCTAGTCTAGAAGCTTCTCAGTGCAGGGACCCCTGGTCCAAAGGATGCAGTCTGCTCCCAGCTCTTCTTTCTTGGTGGTAGGAGGTCCCTCCCCTCTCTGCTCGATCTCTCATTTATATCTCAAAAAATATTGACTCAAGATACAACCTAATCCTATAGATTGTGTCCTGCCTCATTAACATAACAGACAGCTTACTCCCTAATAGGATCATAATCATTGGCACAGAGGCCAGGATTTACAACACATAGGATAATCACGTCAGATTACAAAATGGAGGACAACCACACAAAATGAAGTACTGGGAATCATGGCCCACCCGAAATGACATACACATTTGCCTTGGGATGCTCTACAAGTATCTCCAACTCAGCCTGTACAAAACTGAACACATCATCTGCCTCCAACAACTCAATCTGCTCCTATTCTACGGGGAAACTTGAGAATTATCCTGGACTCCTCCTCTTCCTCACTCTCCACATCCCTCAACTTCACCCTTCTCCCTCCCTACTACACTGCCCTAATTTACACTTTCCCCAGTTCTCAGCTGCAACATCTTCCCAACCGATCTCCTTGCCTCATTTCACTACTTCCAATTCACCCATTTCACTCTCCTAACATTCTGTAGCGGCTCACGGCCTTCAGTGTAATACGGAAACACTGAAGTACAAGGCCTGTCGAGATGTGACGCAGCCTACATTCCCAGCGCTGAATGCATGAACTATGCCCAATGATTCTGCTTCCCCAAAAGCCTCGCTTTTCCACCTCCATAACTTGTCATGCTCTCTACTGCCTGGGGGTCTTTTTAACAGGGTCTGTCGCATTCTCAGTGGTACAGCAGTGCCTGGCATAGTGCTTGGCCCAAAATAGTCTAACGTTTGCTGAATGGCTGGCGGACCAACCGAGCGTCTGAGTGACGGGGGAGCCTCCAGAGTGGCAGCGAGGCCGGGGAGGATTCTCCGTCGATCACTCCGACGCCCCTCACCAGCTGCCTGTCGGCCACCGTGCGGTCAGGCAGGAGGCTGTACACCTGGCTCCTCAGCGCGATGGGCGGGAGCGCATCCTCGAACAGGCCTCGTGGAAACAGCCGCACTAGCTCCGCGACAGCCGCTCGCGCCGACCCTGGGGAGAGACCGGTCACAGAAGCGTACACTGGGCGGAGTAGGAGGCTACACCTCAGGAGGAAGCTGGTCCCCCAGTATCCATGGTTACTGGAGGTGAGGCCCCACCCGCTGGGGTCTTTAGCCCCGCCCTGGGTTGCCATGATTACCAGACTCGCCCCTCAGAGGATCCACTTCTCCATCCTCACGCTCCCGCCGCCTCTTCAGCCCAAAGGTCTCCGAGACCAGGCGATGCCTCTTCCGGCTCATATCCCGGGACTTCTGGCCTTACAGTGCTGGGGAGGGGGCAGGGAACGAGGGAGGAGAGCGTTAAAGGACGGTCTTCCGGCGCAGAGAAATGACATCAAGCTCGTTGGGCGTCCCTCCTTGGAGACCCGGCGGGCGAGTGTAAGAACGACTACGTGATGACGAAAAGGCGTCCCCTTGTCATCTCTCGGGCTCTTGCTGGGAGAGGCGGTCCCAAGGCGGATACCACAGCCCCACGCCTGCCGCTGATTGGCTCACTCCAAGAGCACTCACGTCCAGGGACGCACAAGCAGGGCGGGGAGGAAGAGAGGGCGCCGGGGGCGCCGCGCTCGGATCAGCTTCCTGGTGTAAAGCGAAGCCCTTTACGGGTTTGCCCGCCACTGTCGCTAGATGATTGCGTCATCGAAAGCAGGAGAACTATCTTTGCAACCCTCTTGTTTCTTAAGTGCCTGCCATAACGTCATAGCCATGTGGAGGTGGAAGTCGAAGTTGGGCGGCTTTGAGATAACCAGATCCTGGATCTAAGCCCAAATCGGAGGCAAGTGTCCCGGGACTGGGAGTAGAGGCCTTGGGGAGAGGCGGGGTATGTGACTCGCCGCGGTTCTGTTTGAGCTGTTGGGACCTGGGTGTTTCAAGACCAGAGCCTGGCGATTGGGAGGCCCATCTAGTCCTGACCTGGAGTCATAGTTCTCAGTAGCCTCTTCCATAAAATGGGAATTGTTTTTCCCTTTCAGAACTACATGGAGCCCAGAGGGACCAAGAAAGGAGCTGGGAAGCTAGAAGCAGCTGAGCCTCGGAACAAACTTCCTCGCCCCGCACCATCACTGCCCACAGACCCTGCCCTCTACTCTGGGCCCTTTCCTTTCTACCGGCGCCCTTCTGAACTGGGCTGCTTCTCCCTGGATGCGCAACGCCAGTACCATGGAGATGCCCGAGCCCTGCGCTACTACAGCCCACCCCCTACCAATGGTCCAGGCCCCAACTTTGACCTCAGAGACGGGTACCCTGATCGGTACCAGCCCCGGGATGAGGAGATTCGAGAGGGGCTGGACCACCTGCTACGCTGGCTTCTGGAGCACCGAGGCCAGCTGGAGAGGTGAGCGGAATCTCTCACACAGGGAGAACCTGGAGACCTGCACCTCCCCTTAAAATTGTTGTCACCAAGTGGCTCCTTGAGTGGCTCAAGTTGATTCCGATGCATAGCAACTCCACATGAACTGTCTTATAGTGTTTTACTGGCTGTAATCTTTACAGAAGCAGATTGCCACATCTTTCTCTTAGGGAGCCTGAGTGGGTTCAAACCACCAACCTTTCGGTTAGCAGCTGAGTGCTTAACTGTTGCACCACCAGGGCTCCTTCCCCTTAAAAATCAGAAGAACCAAACCTGGAGTGAAGATCAGTCCTTATAAAGAACGCAGGCTGTTCTTTGGGGGAGCCATCCCAAGCTAATGCTTGGCAGTCCTCCAACCTCTAACTCCTTCCTCTTAGGGATCCAGGCTGGCTGGCAGGAGCCATAGTGACATGGCGGGGACACCTGACAAAACTGCTGACGACACCATATGAGCGACAGGAGGGTTGGCAGCTTGCGGCCTCCCGGTTCCAGGGGACACTGTACCTGAGTGAGATTGAGACACCGGCCGCTCGGGCTCAGAGGCTTGCTCGGCCACCCCTCCTCCGGGAGCTTATGTACATGGGATACAAGTTTGAGCAGTACATGTGTGCAGGTGAGAGTTGCCCCTGCTCTGTAGCCCTGTCCGCCTTCCCCAGAGATTGAGAGTCCCTCCCCTCCTGCTGCTTCTCTCCTTGCAGACAAGCCCACAGGCTCCCCAGACCCCTCCGGGGAGGTCAACACCAATGTGGCCTTCTGCTCTGTGCTACGCAGCCGCCTGGGGAACCACCCTCTGCTCTTCTCGGGGGAAGTAGACTGCACAGACCCCCAGGCCCCATCCACACAGCCCCCCGCCTGCTATGTAGAGCTCAAGACCTCCAAGGAGATGCACAGCCCCGGCCAGTGGAGGAGCTTCTACAGGTTCAGGGTGGGGATAGGCAGGACGAGAGCCTAGAATTGTCACTGGGAAAGGGACTCAGAGTGGAGGAGGAAGCTTCAGGGTGAGGACAGAATGCAGGGAGGAGGTTCCCACTATCCCCTTGCCTTTCCTGACAGACACAAGCTCCTGAAATGGTGGGCTCAGTCATTCCTGCCTGGGGTCCCGAATGTAGTCACCGGTTTCCGTAACCCAGAGGGTTTTATCTGTTCTCTCAAGACCTTTCCCACCATGGAAATGTTTGAAAATGTCAGGGTAAGGCAATGGTGTTTCAGCACCCAGCTATATCCCCCAACTCCAAGACGAAGGGCTGCCTTCCTCTTCTCCCATCCTCACCCTCACTGCCTCCTCCCCTGCCCTCTCCAGAATGACCGTGACGGCTGGAACCCCTCTGTGTGCATGAACTTCTGTGCTGCCTTCCTTAGCTTTGCGCAGAGCACAGTTGTCCAGGATGACCCCAGGTGAGGCGCTCAGCTCTGCCCCTCCCCACTCGGTCCTAGCAGCAGGGCCTTCAGCCCTCACCCCTGCCTCTGTCTGCCTCCAGGCTCGTCCACCTATTCTCCTGGGAGCCCAGCGGCCCAGTCACTGTATCTGTACATCGAGATGCACCCTATGCCTTCCTGCCCACGTGGTATGTGGAAGCCATGAGCCGGGACCTCCCATCACCCCCCAAGACTCCCTCCCCCCAGGACTGATGCTTCAGAGGGGCTGGTCCCTTCTGTGTGCACAGATAATAAAGGCATATTTCTAAGTGGTTCTCCCCACTATGTCTTCTGAGCTGAGCCATGCCTACCCAGCACCTTGAGCTCACATGGGTGGTTTGCTGTTTTATTACATTTTTACACAGGGTCATTCCCCAGGCAGCTCACTGGGTGTAGAGGCTGGCTGCAAAGACAATGTCCCGCCGTAGCAGCGTAGCTGCTGTCTCCATCTTGGCACCTAGCACAGGCTCGCCTACCAGGCGGGCTGCCCCCCGCAGCGAGCGACACATCTCAGCCAGGCGTTGGATGCAGCGGACCACCAGGCCCTCAGGGGTCCCTGAGAGCCCTGCCAACTCAGAGAAGGGCTGTGGGGAGAGCAGAGTGAGGTTGAATGCAGGAGGCCTGGGCAGCGCTCTCCAACCAGCCATGTGCAAAACTCCAAGCCCTAGTCACTTACCATGCCCCGGGCCCACTCATACACAACCTCGACCAGCCCAAAGTTCAGCTCCCCAACAAATTCCTCCACTGTCTGGTTCAGGCCACAGGCCACCTGGACCTCGCCTATCCGCTTAGCCACAGCCCGGACCCGCTCCACTCCCTGCAAATGGAGAAGGAAGGGTTAAGGCCTGCTTCCTACCCTAGGATGGAGAGGCCCAGAGCAAGGAAGAACCCTTTGCCACTCTTAGGGGCACTTACAACCTGATGACTAGTGGGTTAAGTACTTGGGGTGGGGGGTGGGATATGGAACCAGCATGCGGTGGGGGGGTGGGAATGCTGCTGCCTAGGGAGGGGCGTGGGTATCCTCTACCTGCTTGAGGGTGCTCGGGAGCTGATCCCCAGAGTCCCCAGAACTCTGGCAGACCAGGCCGGAAAGCAGGGCTGCGATCTCCTCAGGCCGCAGGGCGCTCAGTGCGTTGTCGAACATGAGCTCAGTGAGGAGCAGCTCGTGGCTGCTCATGGCACAAGCCACCCGCCCTGCTAGCTTCACAGTGCCTGCCTCATCCACATAGCCCAGGGTCTGGAGCACCTGGAAGAAAGAGGGTAGGTGTTAAGGAGCCTGTGTCCTCTCCCACACTAGCCCTCCAGCCCCTCTCTCTGCCCCCTCACCTCTACTCGCTGGTGATACTCTGGGAGCAGCAACAGTGACTGGTCCGACAGCAGGAAGCGCAGCCGCTCCATCTCCTTCTGTATCTGCACTCGCTCCCGTAGCTTCAGGTACTGCAGAGAGCCCCAGGCAGGTGCCCATTAGCCTTCCCCTCGCCCCTTGGCAGAGCTGTACCAAGGACAAGAGCTGAGACGGAAGCAGCCAGTGTACAGGAGGCCAGAGAGGAAAAGCACCCACCTCCCAGCTTGGGAGCTGGCATCAGTGGCCCTACCTGAGCAGGAAAACGTGGGCTGTGCACACACTGAGCCCCCCGGATCAGCTCTTCCAGCTTGCGGGCCCGAAGACCACCCTCCACCACTGACACATCCTTGAGCTGCAGGTCGTTGACAGGGTCGAGGGTTGGGGGTCCCGCCGGGTAGGCCTGAGCCAGGCGCAGCAGTTCCTGGACAGCAGTGGTCACAGCCGCACAGGGAGGATCCTTCCTAAGGAGGGAACAGGTCTTGAGACCTAGGGCAAGAGGCTTCTCTCCCATAGGCATCCCCTCAGGCTGGGCCCCCTCACCACATGGTCCCTCTCATGCTAGGGGAGCCCCCTTCATCACACACACACACCCATCCCCCGCCACATGGCCCCTTCTGGCTATGGCAGCCCACTCACCACAGCTACACCCAGCCCCTGCCACATGGCCCCTCCCCAAACAAAGGGCCTCCCCTGCATCTCTGACTTGAATTTTGGTTGCTGTCTCCTGTTGAAGTCCTCTAAGATCTTCTCCCCATTCACCCGGAGCACCTTAGTGGTGATGGCAGCCACATCTCCTGGCTGGAGCTTGGCCATGACATGGTCACAAGGCCCTGTGGAAGGAGGGAGCAGGGTCAGACCTCGCGATGGACCCAGGCATCCCCCTGCACAGCTGTCAGAACTGGGCACCTGCCTCACTCTCACCTTCAGGCAGGAACAGCTTGAATCCCACAAGGTCATCTGGAAAGGGCACATCTGGGGTGGCTGGCCCTTTGTCCTGTGGGTCCTCGGACATAGGCTTATCACACAAAACCAGGGTTGTGAATACTCTGCTGGTGGAGTTTGAGGAGACCTGGGGGGCGGGAAGGCCAGGGCGGGGTGTGAGGAGTGGACATCAAAAGTGGAGACCAAATCCTCACCCTCGGGCAGAGGCCGTGGAAGCAGCCACGTAGAGCCCACCAGTATAGACGGACGACCAAATCAAACGATGAGGGCAGACTTCAAGGGGA